CAAGAACCCAGAACGGGTTCTTACATCAACTGGACAGAAATATTGTCATCCACAGGAAGTCTCTGGTGTTTTTGAGGTGGGTGATGCTCAGAACTCCTTAGTTCCTGCGTCTCCTTGGTGTTCTTTGCTTGGTAAAGAGGTTTTGACAAAACCCAGTAAATAAATAAATAAATAGATAAATAAATAAATAAATAATGAAATCGTAGAATGGTTAATGTTGGAAAAGTCCTTTAAGACCATCCAGTCCAACTGTCAGCCTAACATCCCCTCCATGTTCACCACTAAACAATATCCTGTGTGAAATCCACACTTCCAGGACGGTGACTCCACCCCTGCCCCAGGCAGCCTGTTCCAATTCTTTGCAACTCTTTTTTTTCTCCTTACATATAATCCAGTATTTTTCCGTATATCTCATCTAAATTATCAGGTCAGTACAGTCCAGTTCTGGTTTCTTTCTCCATCACTGCCTGGGCACTGGGAAGAGGAAATCTTGTCTCTGTTTATCTGTCAGAAAGTACTGGCTTTGAACAGTTCTCCATCTGTGCATGTTTTTATATCCAAGAGAGAAATCCTGTTCATTTGTCACCCTGAAGAAATGCCACTGGCTCGGTAAAGCTCCCTGAGAGGTAAACTTTGCCTTGTCCTCAGTGGGAATGCCATCCCTGGGCACATCTTTTTCCATTCAGGATTCTCAAAATGTGATCCTTCAGGTGTTTATTTGCACTTTTAAGGGTGTACCTGGTTTGTGGTTGGCAAAGTCAGCTCTCCTGCGCTCAAGGCTGTGGGAGCTGTGGTTGCAGCTCTTGACCTGCAAGTGTTGCTGGGCTATTCCAAGTGGAGAACTTAAAAACTGGGAGCCAAAAAGTGGTCCACCCACTCACAGCTCTGTCTTGCTCAGTATGGTCAGAAAAGAGGGGAAATATCATAAAAATCGAGAGGATAATGCAAAAAACTCAGTCCTGCTGCCATCAGAACAGTCTTTTTTCCTTCTTTGGGGATTTGGTTCGGTATGTTGTTTACATTTCTTAGTGGCTTATAAAAGCAAAGCTATTTCTTAGTTAGGGAATTGATCTGGCAGCATCTTGCTTTTTTTTTTTTCCTTTGTAAAAAAGATGATTTCAGGTTTAACACCACTGTTCCTAACATTTTAGTAATGATAAGAAAAAAAGCCACTGATGTGATGACCCTGAATTCCAAACAAGCAGTAACACAAGCAGCTCTGTATTGGACAGAGAAAACAGACTATTGCCAATGTGGCTCCTCAAATCAATTAGGGACAAACCTCCTCGAAGATTAGCAGGTCTCTAAATCAGGGGTGTGGAGGATTCACAACCTGTAACTTCTTCAGTCAGACCCGCCCTTGTAAAGGGCACAGTGCTGACAGAAGATACATTTGTACATTGCATCCTCTTTTCCTGTGTTTGGAACTTGGGATGTACCTTGTGATGGGATGGAGGAAAGGTCAGTCCAAGTGCACAGACCCCAGAAACGTGAAGAGCTCTGAAAGATGCGTGCCATGATGGCTGAAATACTTTTTACATCTTGGAAACACACAGACTATTGGCCTGTATTGAGCACCAGATTATCCCTACCAGGTTGTTCCCGATGAAAAGTGGGTAAACAGGAACACAGGGAGATACCTTCAGTGGGGAATCCCACTATAAGGCATCTCTGTTGAAATCTTCTGATCATGAGAAGGAGAATATCTCCAGTGCCACCTCTGCTTTGGTCACCCAGCAGTATAATCCCCTTGGCAAGGCAGCCCGGGGACTGCACACGGTTCTCATTCCCCCTCTTGTCTCTGTGGATTGCTCTCCCTCTGTTTTGTGGGAATTCAGTTGGTTTCCTCATAGCCTGACTTGTGATAAGCAAGCCATAAGCGGCTTGATATTCAGGTTATTCAGATAAGCATCCTAAGTTGTAACTATAGAAAGTTGAGCAGGTAGGTGTTTCAACTTGATCTGCAGTGAAAACTAATCCAAATTTAGTCATAGATACGATCTTCCATAATCCCATAATATTCTAGAATTGTAATAGGATGACTTTATATTTCTAGAATACTTTAAAATTAATTCATTTGTCTGAAATTCTTTCATCTTTCTATAGCTATTCCCATGTAGAGAAATAAATGGCCATTGTGTGCCTACAGCAGCATAGGCTGTTGTTTTCTCGCCGTGTGTGTCCTTTACTACCATAGCAGTTTGAACGCAAAAGTCCAGATAGTTTGGAATTTTAAAACTTTCAAGTGCAGTTCAAGCACTTAGATCAGTGTCTGCTTTCCAGACTGCTCCCCCAGACAAAATAATTAAGGAATTTTTCTGCTGTAACTGTGGGCGAAGCCGTTTCCTGGCCTGGAGATGGAGGAGACACGGCAAGGCGACTGCGCCTTGCATTCTTCTTGATTTCATCTGTGGGATGTGAAGGAATCTTTCAGCGTGCAATCCTTAAAATATTGATCCTGCAGAGGAAGGCTGAGGCTGGAAGGGATCGTCTGTCATCAGGTTTGCTGTTCGTGTGGGTTTGAGGGTCTGGCCTCTGGTTTCCTCCCACTTGCTGCAGGGAGTCTCAGGGTGGGGGTAGGTCCAGCTCAACTATGCAAGTATTGTAGGATCTTTTATTTTTCATTGAATTATGTTGCCTTTTAGCCATATCATTGGTTTATGGCCCTCTGGGATGTGCCAGCACAAGGGAAATAGCACTGAAGGAAGAGCTGCTGGGCTCAGAGCTCCCTTTAAACCAAGACCCTTCTTTTAAATCTTCAGATCGAGACTAATAAATAGCACTAACTCCAAGCTCGTTTTTATTATCTGGGCGATTTTTTTCTCCTTTGTAAATGCCAATATCCTAACTTAAAGCTGCATTTGGTATATGAGAGAAAATCTGCAGCTGATTGTAGCCCATAAAATTAATATATTGAAGCTCCCAGTGTTCGAGTTTATTGTGGTGTAAATAGTAGAATGTGGCGTACTATGTAGTTCGGCTGATTCCTTGTTCTATTTTTCTGGGTCTTTTTTTCTCATTTTATTTCTCAGATACTCAACGCAAATAGTTTCCTGGGTTTGATTTTGCCCTGGCATTTTTCAGGCTGGTTCTTAACAATGTGGAATTCAACAAGGTGGATAACATTTTCTGTTTACTGTTTACATTTTAAAAAGCAAAGTTTCTGTTTAAAAAAAAAAGGGAAATTCCAGATGTCTGCAGGCAGTAGGAAATGTACGTAGTATACAGTTTAATAAAATGGCAAATATAGCAGAAGGATAAAAAAGTGGTTCATGTTAGCAAATGGTCTGAATTTTAAACACCAGTCAACACGAGGACTTCATTTTAGGTGAGGGAAATTCACATGTGAAGTATTAAAATGTAGCTTTATAAATACATTTCCTCAGGACAGGGATGTTGTGCATTTCCAAATCATCTTTAAAACTTCCCTTTTCACTTAATTTTGATTAGATTTTCTAAAACGGGATAGACATAAAAGCATTAAAAAATATGTAAACCGTGAAAGCCAAATGCAAAGCAGATTCATCCAGAGCAAAGACATGAAAGCCAGACCCCTTGTTCCTCAAGAGCAACATGGAGAGGGGGGAACCCCTTCATTGCCAGCTCATTTCCCCACGGGAGCATTTTTGGACTTGCCCCTCATTAAATGGTTTGAGAACATGATGTAAAGAGCAACTAAACAAGAGGCTTTAGTGTTGAAAGGGGGTTTCTTTTGGGATGTCTGTTGCAGGAAGGAGGTTTGGCTTTGGGAGGAGGATGTCTTTGGATTTTGGGATAATTCGGTAGCAGGATTGCCCCTGGGTGAGATGGTGGGAGGTGGAGTTGCCATTCCTAGGGACTGTTAAGGAAAGGGCAGGCAAATTCTAGCCAAAACCTGCCAGGTGAATTTTTTTCAGAGAATGGACTAATTGACCCTTATTGTCAGTGACCTCTGTGTTGATTTTTAAGGTAAGGGTGTCAACGTGCCAATCAAATGTTATTTACAGTACCTCAGTGTTGCTGAAACAGTGCAGAAACTGCTTATGTGGTACTTTTGGAAATTCAGTTTTATAGATCTGTTTCAGACCTTCACCTGTTTACTTAAACTGTTCTTGATCTTTGTCCATCGTTGTCCATCATTTTCAGAGAAAACATTACAGCAAGTTGGTTTAATGCTCATTTCCTTTTTCATTTGAATGTAATCCCCTGAAATGTGAAATATGAAATGATACCTGCTTAGCTTCAGAAAAGGTATCAACAGGAACCCACATTATTTTCTTGAGAGGTCATCTGAGCAGATGCTGTGAAAAGTCCAGGTGAACACAGCTAAGATCAAGGGACAATGTTGTCCCCCATCCCGACAGTGTTCAAGGCCGGGCTTGATGGAGCTTGGAGAAACCTGGTCTAGTGGAAGGGTGTTGGAATGAGGTGAGCTTTTGAGGTCCCTTCCAACCCAAACCCTTCTGTGTTTCTATGATTCTGTGACAAGAGTCACAGAAAACGTGGCGCAAAATCCTCATTCTTTTGAAATTTGCTTGTTAAGTGTAATGGTGATGGAGAGTGTGGCTCTTTTCCATTTATGTCAGTTGTGTGTGGTTGTACCCTCAGGAGCTAATAGGATTAAAGGCCTGATGCAAAAGGAAATCCTCATACAGCAAATTTTTACTGAAGCCACATGTTTGACCAGTGGTGCCTACAAGCTCAGATGTTATCTAACCCTAACTAGTTCCCTGTATTTTTCTCTTGGCCCCAAGGAAACAGCCATGTCACAAATCACCCTACTTAACAAGGGCTTCAGAAGTAGGGAGTACAGAGGCTGTGCCTGCGGGAACTTGGAAAAAATACCATAAAAATCTGATTTTCTTTGCTCTGTTTACGGCACCGAAGCGAAGTAAACAACAACCTGGGCCGAGTGCTGGGGCTGCATTATGTATGAGCCACGTGCTGTCCAGGAGAACGGGGCTATATCCGTGCTGGGGCTCCCTTGTAAGCCTTCCTCACCATCTACCTTCCTTCTCCAGACGTGGATGAGTGTGCTGTGGTGAACGGTGGCTGCCAACAAGGCTGTGTCAACACTCCCGGCTCCTTCCACTGCCAGTGCCGGGCGGGATTCCGGCTCCACGCCGACGGCCGCACCTGCATCGGTAAGGAGGCATTAACAAGCACCTCACATACTTCCAAGGTGTTGTTTTTCTCAGTTAAACCTGTCTTGGTCTAAGTACAAAGGTTTGTAGACTTGCTCCGGTCTTAGTTTTTATTTATTCACAAAGGATGTCATTATCCATCCCACGTCAAGCAGCTCACGAGAATTCAGGTATTGCCACATTTACTCCTTTTTGGTTTGATTTTTTTTTTTTTTTTTTGTGAACAAATGAAGTGATGGTGTCCCGCTTTTGTGAAAATTCCTTCTGTTTTGCATTTACAACATACGGTGTTTTCCTGACTTTTTTGAATTCTGAGCCTTTTTTTCCTCTGTGGCACATTTCCCTGCGTATTCCAGCGCTGTCCTGGGACTCAAAGATTTTAAAGGTCCTTTCCAACCTAAATGATTTTGTGATTTACAGTGTGGAGTTGCCCTGTGTGCGTGCTCATGCCAGTGACAGCACCACTGAGCTCAGCAGTTCAGCCCGTGACATGCTGCCCATTTCAGTGGAGAGGATTAGCAGCTCTGCCCATTAGAAATAAACCCTGTGTTTCTTAGGCTGGACTCTGAGCCCTGAAACAAGACATAACAGAGCAAATTCTGCATGTTGCTAAAAATAATAACATAAAAGATGCAGTCCTTGTATTGCATTTAAATCAGTACAGAAGCTGAGTTGTTGAATTCTGCAAAAAAAGATTAATATGATCTTTCATCTGAGAAGAGGAAAAGGGCATTGTTTGTTTAAATTTTTAAGCCAGATTTGAGGTAATATGAGATGAACAGTGAAGTGTGGTCAGACCACATCTGCAGAATAAGTTCACTCACACTTTGGTCATTGTCTCAGTTCTTACTCAAAGTCCCTCGGTTGTGCTTAACATCAGTCAAGGGTGTCATCACTCATTCCTGGTATTAGCACAGCAGGACATCCACTGATGCAACTAGAACACAAGAGGTACCCGTGCTCAAGCTGTGGGAATAACATTTTGGTGTTTTGTTTTGTTTTTTTTTCTTTAAATATACTCTTTTGTTGGGTTTATCACATAGAGAGACTTTCAGTGTTTTGGTGATTAACTGCACTTAAAAATATGGTAAAGTCTCAATCTTTTCTTGTTCGTGAAGGAACGGGTAGGAAACACTATTGTTAGAGAAAAAATAATGTAAAAGCAGAGTTGTTTGTATTTAACTAGAAACAATGATGTTTTTCTGTGAGTTAAAAGAGGATTTTCTTCTCTCTCTGATCAGATCTGACCAGGGAAGACCCAAAAGTGAAAAATGTGAGGTTTGGGTTATATGACTTTCTCTGAATAGTCTCATTTTCAGCTGTGGTGGAGGGGGAATTTTATACAAAAAAAGGACTAAAGTGACTTTGGGCAAAAGGAGCAAGAGAACTGAATGACAAATGCAAAAAGTAGATGTTATGGCAATTGAATGAACTTGCCTTTGCAGTATGTAAAACTTTCTGTGGACATAGATTAGCAAAGTTTTCTCAAGCTCCAAATAATCCAGAAGCTCAGGAGAGTTCTGAGAGTTCTCTGACAGTTTGGAGCTGTCGGAGCTAGGAACAGTATCAAAGTTTTCATTTCACAAATGTGTAAGTATTCTCAAGAAGTTATTAAAAATACTTCATGCGGTGATCAGTTTTGTTTTCAATATCTCAGAAATTATCAAGGAGACGCAGAAATAAATCCTAAGATGAGAGTCAGGAGTGAATTTTGGAGAGAGCTGCTATCATGATAATGGATATTCACAATACTGACAGGAGGATATTGAGTTCTGTTTCAGCTGCTTAGGCAAGACACCAAAATAAATGGATATAATAAGCTCTAATGCAATGGAGCACAAGACAGATACACTAGCTGATGAGAAGCATTTCCCATAAACCAGTAATCCAGGAGTGCCTTGAGTTGGGATTTGGGCAGAGGTTGTTGGGGATGGAGGGTTTGTCTCTTCTGCTGCCCCAGGTTATACATTCAGCTTTCACCACTCATCTGATGGAGAAGTAAACCCAACAAATGCCCCTCTCTTTTGACCTCGTGCAGCTAAGCAGAATATGTAGCATTTCAAATAGGGCTTGGATTAGCAACAGGACTTCTTGCGTGGATGCTTTAGAGGATGTAACGATCTCTCCCACATGCTGAGAATAAAAAGAGACCACATTCCAGCACTGTGCTGTTTATGGAAGGTGATTATCCTAGCTGCAGAAACAAGAAACAATCATCCCTTTAGACAGGCTTTTCAGATGAGCCCAGCCCAGATTGCTGTTGCGTTCATTCTTTCCACGTCTTCTTTCTCTTTTTTGGCAACCCTGTGTTTTCTGAGAGCAAAAGTGCCAAAATCATTTGAGGGGAAGCAGATTTTGCAGCCTGCATGGCTTGGACGTCTCCCATACATAAGGAAGTGAATCTATCATAAGATATTCAGCCTACATCTGAAGACTCAAAAACTTGGGATAAGCTACTTTCTCATGTGATTCATGGAATATTAATGAACTTCTGTCACAGGCTCTTTCCAGCGAGCCTGGTCCTCCTGCCGTGTCATCACGGTGTGTTTGGGATCCTGAGCAGTTGCTGGTGCTCCATCCCTCCACTGCCAGTATGATCCTCAAAGTACATGGATTGAGGAAGTCTATTTCTCGTTCCTCCTCCTTCTGCCTGTACTTTTAAGGCAAAGAACCTCCAAAATGGGTTCTACTGTTCAGTGAAAACCAGTTTGTGAAAGTAAAATACTTCATTCTTGGATCCTTTGGTAATACCTGATACTTTGTGCCACTCCAGGATCCCATCTTTTCCAATGATCCTTTTCGTTCTTAAGCTTTTTTCGGTCCCACAAATTTCACTCAATATTGAATTCAGTTTTAGATATATGTGCCAGACCAAATATTCACTACAAATTAGGTAATTAGAATAAACAGAGGTAACACTGTCCAATTTTCTGTTTGTTTTGTTCGTAATGCCTTGATTATGTTATTGAAATGAATTTGACTTCACTGGAGTTTAACTAACTGCTATCTGGAAAGCTGAAACTCAGAAAGAACACGTTTATTGCAGTGTCAGGCTGTGGTTTTGGATTGTTTCTAGAGTCATTGTCTTCACTGGAATTCATTCCTCTTTGAACTCCTAGAAGTGAAAGCAAAGCATGGCCGTTAGACCCCGATTCATCTCTGGTGCCAGCTGTTATCTTTGATGTCTGCTTTATCTTGAGGTGCAGGTTTTTATGGAGATTTTAGCACACTAAGGCTTTTAATAGAGGAAGTTACAAAGAAAATATCTCTAAAACTGTATAATCTATGTCTCCCCACATAAATAAAAGCACTGCCTGAAGTTATGGTTCTTACATTGCTAAGGTTGGATTTAAGGTGATGGAAAACGTAGTCTTGAAGAGATTTCGTGTTCTAAGCCCTTGGTTGCTTTGCATGCATCTAACCATGGCTTCAGACTCAGCTCTTTGTCAAAATATGGCCATTATAAAAAACTAATGGGTTGAGAAATGTGTATTTCCCAACTATCAGGAGATCAGGCCTATGAGAGAGCTGGAGAGGGACTTTTTACGAGGACATGTAGTGACAGGACAAGGGGAACGGGCTTCAAACTGACAGAGGGCAGGGTTACATTAGATATTAGGAAGAAATTCTTGGCTGTGAGGGTGGTGAGGTGCTGGCATAGCTTGCCCAGAGAAGCTGTGGCTGCCCCATCCCTGGAAGTGTTCAGGACTAGTTTGGACAGGGCTGGGATAGTGGAAGGTGTTCCTGCCCTTGGCAGAGAGTTGGAGCAAGGTGATTTTTGAGATCCCTTCCAACCAAACCATTCCATGACTCTGTGATCCTATGATCCTTGTCTTTCCTGCATGATGCCTCCCACCTCTGTCCCCCTTCCAGCAAGGCTGCCTCTCTCTGGGCATTCCCAGACACCCTAAAGAGCCATGGCCGTGCCTGTGCCAGCGTTCCTGTTGGGACTTCACAGAGGGGCTGGTTTTCCACCAAGCTTCAGGAGTAATTCCTTAAAAGCAGAGGGCATTCCTTATTTCCTCCCAGACCCTGTGGATGTGCTCAGGCCTCCAGGCACAAGCCCCTTTACGACAGGTGGAATTAGACTCGTGTCTTGCCAAGCCTCTCCCTCCTTCTGATCAGACAGCGCCTGGCAGCACGAGCACAATCCATCCTGTTCTGTCCCCAGAGGCACTTCTGCTTCAGTCTGGCACCTCCTCTCACGTATCCAGCACGATGCCTGAGCAGCAGCCGTGGATAAACCTGCCCTGGCTGCTCTGGAGGAACCTCTGGCTCCCTGGCCACTGGCAGAGCCCACCCCAGACTGGGATGAGTGGCCTTGCCAGCACGAGCTCTTGGCACAGGACTCCACACCTGTCCCCTTCCGCCTCCAAAGCCTCCAAAATTCTCATAGTGACAGGTTGCTGCTCATCTCCTCTTGCATCCAGATTGGCTCGTGCCCAGGGAAGGAGGGAGGAAAATGGCACTTTAAAAAACCGAGATGTATATTCTGTCACTTGGTTTTAAGATGCTTTTCATCTTCTGAAATATTTTCATCTTATTTGAATATTCTTGCTGAAAAACAGGTCTTTGGATACAAATGTGATCAGGAAGCTGGAAGTGTATGGAGTCTGCTGCCTCCTGTGCAGACATGGAGCTGCTTTCAAGTTCCATCGCTAACGGGGCAGGAGGTTCATGGGCACAGATGGAGATCAGAAGCCGGGGTCAGGTCCTTGTGCAGCGAGGTGCCTCCTGCTGGGTGTGCATCCAGGAGAATGTAAAAATTTGCTTTTCTTTTTGCCTTTTATCACATACTTCACTGCACAAACTCAGTATTTGCTAATTGGTGGCATAGGGTGAAACGAATCCTGCAGCAGGCTTGGTCTCTAAGGTTTGCTAATGTCTATTACAGATAAATAAGTCCAGATAAATGAATTACAGATTCATATGAATATTCCTAAAATAAATATCAAAGCTCTTTGATGATTTCATTGGGTTCAAAGTTTGGTGCCTTCCGTGAACGACCAAATAGTCTTTTCATCTGCTCATGGAGAACATGGAATTGTAGAGAACATAGAATCACAAACTGGTTTGAGTTGGAAGGGACCTTAAAGATCGTCTCATTACACCCCCCCGGCCATGGGCAGGGACACCTTTTGCTAGGTCAGGTTGCTCCAAGCCCTATCCAACTCAACCTTAAACACTTTCAAGGATGAGGCATCCACAGCTTCTCTGGGTAACCTGTGTCAGCACCTCACCACCCTCAGGGTCAAGAATTCCTCTCTAATATCTGATCTCAATCTCTGCATTCTACATCCCTGCTGTTAAAGTATATGTAAATGCAGCCATGCACACAGTCACACTTCCATCCATACAGCACAATAGCAGCTTCAAACCATCACTCTTATTTTTACATGCAGCGTGTGAATAGGTGTGGGTGTGTGTGAACATATTTTGGCAGAAGGAGAAATGTTTTTCCAGAGGCCAGAGATATGTGTTGAACAAAAAAGAATATTAATTTGCTTGGGTGAAAGAAGCAGCGTCTTTTGAGATGTACTGAAGACCCTCTGTTCCTGTGGTTTGCTTTGTAAATCTGTCCTGTGGAGCTTTTGGCTCCTGTCATTTGCATTTTCCTATGCACGAGGCTGAGGAAATCAGCCTGGAAGACAATTGTTATTAATATTATTATTTTTAATCAATGAAAGCAAGGAGAGAAAAAAGCAACCACTGGGCAAGTGCCAGCAGGGCTGCTCTTTTTCTCCCCTCCTTTCCTCAGTGGATTCTCTGTGCTTTGGTGCTGTCAGATCAAAGGGTGCTGTGCTTCAGTCAGCATTCCAGCCCTTAGATCTCACCTGCCTCTTGCTGGAATTAGACTTCCACCAGTGTGGTACAAGCCCCGTGAACACAAGGGAGGGTAATCACTCAGGGGATGGGACAGGTGCATTCATGAAAGCAGTTTGGAGAGGTTTGCCTGTTTTTACTGTCATTTATGTATTTAAAATAGAAAATAAGTTTCCCAGGTTGTTGACATGCAGTCCTTCTCTGCTTCCTTGGCTCCAGCCCTCCATTCCTGCAGCGTTAACAACGGGGGCTGTGAGCACAGGTGTGTTCAGCTCGAAGATCACTACAAGTGCCAGTGCCAGCCAGGCTACCAGCTGAGGAGGGATGCCAAATCCTGTGAAGGTAAGTCCTGTTCTACCTGCTCAGAGACACACAGTAGGGGCAATTTAAAATGCTCCAGGCTGGTGTTTTGGGTCACTGCATTCGCTCCTGTTTCCCCCTGCTCTCCAAAAGCAGCTTTAGGAATCACTCCTTAACAGGGTTTTTAAATGACACGTGTTTAAGGTGTGAAGTTCACATCGAATCACAACTTCAAACAAGATTTTGGCCTTGTAGACCCCTGGCTGCTCCTTGCTCGCTGACGATGATGACATAGGTTAGGAACTTAACCATGTTTTAACTCTAACATTTTATTACTCATCAGGTTATATATAGAGTTGGCCTGTATAACATGTTTTATTCTACATGAAGTGTTTTCTTTATCTGCTTTTGGCTTATCACAGTCTGATTCATTCATCCCCCCCTTCAGGTTTTTAAGCAGAACAGCAGTGCTACCTTTGGGTTTAATTGTTGCTTTTCTTTTCTCATATGCCTTAAAATATTCATCAGTTTTTAAGGCAACCCCCCCACTCCCCAACGCAAGCTCACACACTCGTACCCCTGAATATGCCAGAGAAAGATAGGGCCAAATTTATGGATTTATTGCACTAAAATCCCTGTCACAAAACCGTTTCCATATGGCTCCTCTTCTGCTCAAGGAGATTTTATATGCTGTGTATGAAGTGTAAGTAAATCCTGCTGTTCAGCCTGATTCCAGCTCCCGCTGACTGCAGCGAACGCTCTCCCTTCGCTTTTGGCCCCCCCAAATCCCGCCCTCTGTGCCTCAGTGAGCACCCACAGCAGCCTGGCCTCACTCTCTCTCCCGGGGTGGCCACATTTTGTCCCTGGGATTATCAGAAAAAGTAGGAAAAGGGGAGCTTTAGTGCAGAGAGAGCATCAGAGACCTTGCTCCGCTGTGCCCCATCCTGTTTCCAAACCTCTTGTGTCTCCTCCGCTGCCTCTGGCACTCCAGATGTCCTTTGCCAAGCCACGTGCAGGCAGCTGCATGGAACTTTTTGGTGGTTTTTATGGTGTCGTGGTGGGGCAGCGGTTGGATCAGTGGGGTCTAATTGTGGCAATGCCTGGGAGAGGGGGGGTGGAAGTTGTCCCTGGGTGGTCATGGAGCAGCTCAACCCCCCATGTGACACCTCATGCTCTATCCCAGCTGCCAGCAGCTGGTTCTACTCAGCAGCCAAACCAGCAGGCTGGGACCCCTGAGAAGGGGGGAGGTTTTGCCACTGCTGTTCCCTCCCTCACATGGTGGGGCTGATGGGGGTCAGCCCCTCACCAAAGGCAACGTTTTGTCACCAGCCAGTCATTACTGAACGGTGGAAAAGGGGCAGGGTCAGCTCTGCAGGTGAGACCTTTCCTGGAGCTGGCCTGGGTGCCTGCTTACCTGTGTTCAGGGTGTGTAAATCAAAATAAATCAGTGCAGCATCCCCCCCAGGAGGGCAGCTGTGCTCAGAGGAAGGAGAATCTGTAAGCAGAGCTCAGCTTGCAAAATTAATACCAAGTGGGATGTTCTTCCCCCATAAATACCTTAGTAAATGAATGCCTGAGAGAGAAAAGTGCTAGTTGAACCAATGGACAAGATTTTTACAGGAACAAATGAGGCTGAAGTGGCCATGAATGCATTTGGGTTGGCAATCAGAGGTGTTTTAAGTAGAAAAGGTGGGAGGAGGTGAGCCTGGCTGCTTTTAATTTCCAGCCACAAAGCATGGCTGCTGTAGGCATGGTTTGGATGGAGAAATCTCAGCATCAGGAGGGTATTTACCACAGCAGGTGTAGCTGCTCTGCAGGTGTGAATTCATGCCTGCAGACTCCTTGGGAGCTAATGCTGCACCCCATAGCCCTGAAAAGCTGTAGAGAAACACCTAGCAATTTTAATCTTAACCACTTTAAATTTTCTCCAGTGTAGAGTCATGACTGCTGTGAACAAGAAAGTTAATTTGATAAGGCCCAATTCTCTTTCTTTGTGTGCTCTAGAGGTCATGGCAGGTAGGACTGCACCAAGAGCATTTGCTGCTGTTCCAAATCAGTGCAATCACCGTGGTGAACCTCACACGAGGTTCCTGGATATCTGGGAAACCTCTTCTCTGGTGACAGGTTGCCCAGGGAAATGGTGGGTGCCCCATCCCTGGAAGTGTTCGAGGACAGGTTGGATGGGGCTTTTGAGCAACCTGGTCTAGCAAAAGGTGTCCCTGCCAATGCCAGGGGGGTGGGATGAGATGATCTTAAAAGTCCCATCCAATCCAGAGTGTTTTGTGCTTCTCAGTCCTGGGACATCTGGGAAATCAAATCATTCCAGTAAATTTTTTGCCGTAGTGTTTGACAGCTTGGATTAGATCTTTGCAGGATGGAGTCTGTTATCCACTGAAGTTATTAAGTGAAACAAAAAGAGCCAAATGTGTAGGAAAAAGAACACTAATGAATCATTTTTAGTTTCTCCTGAAACCTGCCTATAACAGGAACAAATATGTCACCGAAAACAAAGTCAATCAGTGATCACATTATGTCCTGAAGATCCTTCCTTTACAAACTTTTATCTCATCTAAGGACTTCCAAGGCTGCTATCTTTATTCAAATTACTATGTTTTACTACCATCTACCCTATAATTTGTTGTTTGCCTGTTGTCATGTCACAGAGCATTACAAGTTTCACTCTCCACTGTAATCATTCCCAAATTAAAGCTCTAGCTGCTCGGAAAACCTCTGTAATGTGCAGGTTTAACAGATGCTGTTTGATAGTGATTTCATTTAATTTACCCAAATAGAAAAAGAATCAGCAAATAACTCAGTATTTCATATCAGCAAGGAGTGAGCTCTTGCTTGGAGCTAAATCCTTTGTAGAGTGCAAATTGTCGAGCTGCAGAGCCAAGTTGTCAGCCTTGAAAGTGTCACGTGCGATGGAGTGCTGCTGTTCCTCGCAGACCTATTTGCAGCCTATCGTGTCAGAAGTCCAATTTTAGTTCTACACCCCTAACTGTGGCTTTATTTTTTTTTTAATTTAATTTTTTTTTTTTTTTTAAATACTGTCAAGTCAAACTCAGCCTTGCAGACTGGGATGGTTGTGTTCTTGAGATGGTGACGTGAGGGACTTTGAAGGTATTCTGGGGCAACTTCCCCCCTTTGCCAAATGGTGGTACAAAATGCTACTTGGCTGTACAGAAGAGTGAAAATTAGAGGAAAATAAAAAAAAAAAAATATCTCATGTTTAAATATATTTATAGAAAGCAGAGGTCTTTCTCTCCTATTCTCTGCTCTTGCATGGCTACATATATATGGATGGCCACTGGAAGAGCAAAGCAGCAAGGTCTGGATCAAAACTCCTTCATCCCAGGGTTCCTCAGACCTGACTCCACTGCCAGTGCTGTAGAACTGATGTTGATTTTCTCCCTAGGGCTCTGATAAAAGGTGGCTTTTACAGAGCTTGGGAAGGAGATGTTGGGCTGGAGGTCAGTGAGGAATACTGGTCAAGTGTCTCAGATCAGACAACAATGAGTAAAATATGAATTTGGGCTTGAATTGTAAGGAAATAAGCATAACTTTTTAAAAGCTGCAGTTGAATCTAAGCAGAACTCTAGAGGACACATTTTAGAGGTGTCCTCCAAATTTACCTGCAGAATGTTATTCACCAGTATGTTGGTGTAACGAGTGCTCCAACCCAAGACCTCAGCCTGGTGCAGAATATCAGATCTTAACCTAAATCAAACCTGTCTTATCAGTCCTAGAAGGTCTATTTTGGTGTGTGTCAAGTCTTTATTTGGGCAGATACCTCAGTATGCTTCCAGCAGGTATATGTTGCAGAAATAAACCCATAAAACACAGTGAGATCTTTGAGCTGGAGACTTCTGTAGGCGCTTTTTATAAAGTGTTTTTAAGTACTTGCCCCTTTGAGTGGCTTATCCTTGAAAAAGTATGTTATTGTTCAAGAAAAGGGAAAAAAACCTTGATGTACAACATGAATGGCATATGTTTATGGACTGAGGGATGTCTTTGGGGGCTCTTCAGTGTTTATTTCCTCTAGAGCCTTTTAAATATTCATTGTCTCATGGTGAACTGCACCATTGTGTGTGTTTATGGGTTCACACATATTGGAGTGCTAATTGCTGTTGTTTAGAGAACTCTTGAAATCTGTTCAGGTACAACAAAATAAGAATAAAATGTACTCTTTTTTTTTTTTTTTTTTTTTTTTTTTTTTTGTCCTACTTCCAATGTGTAATACAAGCTCAATTTCCTGCTGTTTAAAGCATTGTTGCTGCTCTGTGAAAAATATTGTCCAGCAACAGAGGAAATAAAACCCAGAAAAACAACGGCTTTACTACACACCAAAGTCTGTCAATTTTTTTTTTTCCCCAGTCTAATCTCTTACAGCTACTTCATTGTAACGATGGCAGGTAAGACCATTTTCAGGTAAAAAAGTGACCTTTCAGTTGACAGTGTGCTCTAATTGGTTTCAGCAATAGACCCCTGCACGAGTGGGAACGGAGGATGCTCACAAATCTGTCAAAATGCGAGAGGAATTGCAAAATGCGAGTGTCATCCAGGGCATTACCTTTCTGCAGACAGAAAGTCCTGTTTAGGTAAGAAACTGTGGACTATTTATCGTGAAGAAAGTTATTAATCAGAGCTCACTGAGCTCTGGGTGGAGAGGAATATGTTATACAAATATATGAGTGCATTTTGGAGCAGCGTCTCTCTCTCTCTCTCTCTGTGTGATATTCACATCAGCCCATAGTCTTGAAGGAGTATTTTAGTAATGAAAACTCCTCTGTGATCTCCTAAGTCATGCTTTCTAGCAACTGGATTTGTAGATGCTGGAGTGTTATTGTTGTAGTGTTCTCTTTAAAATAATGTCCCAGATACAACTCCTGGAAAATTGGTTCAAGTAACACTCTGAACCAGGTCACTGAAAGCCTGTTTAGAATTCAAAGGGCTTTTTAGCTGGAGAACTGTTTCCATATTAATGGAGAAACTACTGTGAAGGAAGAAATCCTGATGTGTAAGATTTCCAAAGAGAATGGCTTAAAGTTGAATTCCAAAGGCCTGTATTTAGTCTCAGGTTTTCAAAAGGATCTATAGCATCTCTGACCTAAAGTGTGGTGGAACTAGAGATCAAAATACCTGCTTTTCTCTTCCAGTATGATGATTGGAAGCTCATTTAGGAGTTTTATGAGGTAAAAAGCGTTGGTGGACTTCATGGTGCACAGATTTTTGACAGCCGAGTCAGGATCGACATACATATTCAGACTAATTTGAAACTCCTCCTTTTAAGAATTTAGTCAATCTTTTGCCAATATTTAAATTACTGTCTTGTGTAAAGGGTGCTGGGTTGCCTTGCAAAACACTTGCTTCCTACCCTATTTTATATTGCCTGGAAGCCCTTCTGTGAGTAGCATGGGACACCTCAGCAATTCCCCTCTTGCTGGGGTTGCTCGTGAGGAAGTTACTGAAAAAAAAAAAAAAAGTATTTTCGAGTAGTTTAGACACTTCACTGGTGATTATTAGATGGAAGTAGCAGTGGGTTTAACAGTAGGGTCATCATGTCACTTGTTTTATCTCAGATACACATTGACAATTCCGTTAATTTATGTATAAAACTAAAGCACGGGGTTAACTTGCAGTGTTATATATTGGAACAACTTTTCTCCCCAGCCTCATGGCAACAATCTTCTGAATCATTAAGCAGCATGTCTTGCCGTGGATATACAATTACTGGTTTTTCCTCCTAGAAGTTATTCAATGTCTTTTGCAAAATTCAAGCTGGTATTTGACTCTCAGGAAGCCGAGCTGGAAGGAGACAGAGGGCAACTGAAGGCTCATACCTTGGCTGCATTTCCAAGACAGGAGGAAACATGTGCAGGATGGTGGCTCTTTAACGGGTTTTCCAACTTTTTAGTATTATTTTTGAAAAGAAGAAAAGAAAAGAGTATTTACAGCACTGTCCAAGATACTCTACTTGCAAGCTGACAGTTGCAGGAAAAGGAGAAATAAACGATTTTATTCTAAGCAGCAGCTGCTCACGGGGCTGCTTCAGAGAAGCTGTCATTTGTCCTGAAATTTTCATGAGCCCGTGTGTGGTGTTTGCACTGCCTGGGGCCTCTCTTTGCAAGGAGCCTGATTGCATTCATCAGGCTGCTTGTGTTCAACTACGAGGGGCCACGAGCACAGCGCTGCTTACAGCACACGTGCAGGAAAAGAAACTGCTGGGAAGCGGTTTGCTGGGATAAAAGGTGAGGAGCTGCACACCAGACCGTTCCCTCCTGTGTGCGAGACACTGACCCAGCACTGGTGCAATAAATAATCTGCATTTTGCAAGGAAAATGTCGGGGCAAGAAGGAACAGGAGGTGGGTCAGGGGTTTGCCATCTGTAATGCCAGTCTTTGAGCAGGGGTTGGTGTTCTGTGCAGTGTTTAGTGTAGGGTTTTGCTTTGCTTTCTTTTGGCAGTAATTACTCCTTAAAAGTGTTTTTATGCTCCACTGAGATTTTAGGAAGATGGACACCTTTGGTGGTTTTTTAACTCCAAAACACAAACTAGTACATGTGAAGGTGAGGAACAGACTGTTTGACAGAGGACTAGGGGAAGAACAGCCTCTGCACCTACAGCTCTGCACCTTTTCCTTTTCTTGCAAGTGGGATGAAGCTCCTCTGGCTGGAGCAGGTGCCTCCTGCTGTGCTGCTGTAGAAGCAGCTGCAGGATTCAGGGATGTGACAGAGGAGTTCTGTCTCTATTACCCCTGCTGAAACCCAGCCACAACTTAACCCAGATCATTTGACATTCAGAAAATAATCAGCTATTTCCTACTCCATTAATTTAAATATAATGGCATTGAGGACCTGGTGATAATTTCAGAGCAGTGAGAGTAAAGGACTTTCTTCTTGAGTTCTTCACATGGCATCTTTTTCCATTGCTCTTTTTACAGGAACAATAAACAAGTTGCTTTGGTTGATACTGTAAATATAATGTTTGATGTTGTAGACATTCACTCTGAGAAGCTCAAGGTCAATGGTGTTTAGAAAAAAAAAAAAAATTTTTGGAGAACAATGTGACTTCAGTGTCCCTGGATCCGTCAGATGCTGCCCTTTGTAGACTCACACCAGGATGCTGTTTTCAGCAGATGCTTGGACACACAGCCATGCCTGTGTAGAGCAATGATGTGTTCTATTTTAACATCCAAGTGAATGTCTTTGCCTCTCTCCCTGCTCTGCAGATGTTGACGAGTGTGCAGAAGGCAGAGCCAGGTGTGCTCATCGTTGTGTGAACACTCTGGGATCCTTCACCTGTGCCTGCAATCCTGGCTTCGAGCTGGGGGCTGATGGAAAGCAGTGCTACCGTAAGTGACACCCGCGCATTTCGGGCTGGTTTAGCTCCAAACTGCCATGCTTTGCTTTTAATTCAGTGGGATTAGCATTGCCAGCAACATAAATGTATGCAAAAGCTCAAGCTTAATAGTATTTTCTCTATCTTCTGCTGCTGCTGGGTTCGCAGGGTGACACATTCCTAAGCCTGTGTTCACAGACCTTAATTACTGCATTTCAAAGAGCAAATAGCCCTGTTGGTTTATCTTCAGAGCCTGGTGAATTCTGCTGCAGAGCTACCAGAATATTGCTGCTCTATGAAATGCTTCCTGCCCTCCTCCTCCCAATTTTCTTCTGTGCTGAACCCGATGCAAGAGAAAATGAACGTGATGTTCTGCTCTTGTCTTTATCTGCCTGGGTTCGCTTGTGTTTCTCCTGAGATTACTGACACTATTAAGAGGATGCTTTTTAAAAAGGAGAAAAAAAAAGAAGCAAGACTGGGGATGAAAAAAAAGAGTTGAAAAACTGAAATTTCCTGAGCTAAAGTGAGCCCTGTTGTCTTCTCTCACATACTTACCTCTTGCCAGGGGGCTTTCTTAATCAACGCTGCTTTTCTGGAAAGGGGGGATTGACTCCCAGCACTGTGAGTTGATAGGTGATTCCTGGGCTGTCCTTGAGGGCAAATTTAGATTAATAAAGGAGGTGATGTGGAAGAGTTGGGGTTATTATGGACCTAACATAAGCTCACTGGAATGCAGACAAAAGCATGACCTGTTTTAGCAAAGAGGTGGGCAAAGATCATTCAGTCTAATAATACCGTGCAAGAGCTTTCAGCAGTGTTTCCTTAGGAAAATACAGTGCATGCCAGAGAATGAGTGCTTTATTTAAGAATGTGTGTGTAAGAAATACTTATTAAGGATGAAATTCAGTTTCAAAGCATTAACATACATTAAAAACAAAACCCAATTATGTGAGAGACATCCTGGAGAGCTATTTCACAGGAGATGGGGAACTGTGAGTGGTACAATGGCAGAGGAAATGTGATTAATATATAGATATGAAGTGCTCTGTTATAGGCATAAAAAAGAGGTTTAGACCACTTAGATTTCATTGTGGTTTTCTGATAATATATTTTCTGGATGTTCAGCGGATCTCAGGGGACGGTGATTCTCTGTGCCTCATGAACAATATTGCAGAGCAAACAATAAAAATAAAAACATTCTGCATATATTTATGATCAGGATTATCCCAGTGTTTGAGCAATTTACAATCTTTGTTTATTCTTTCATTTCCCTGGTGGCTTGGGGAAGAGCTGTTTTTGCAGTTTTACTGATGAAGAACTGAGACAAAGTAAATGATGAAGATTGTGTATAAAGTCAGATTCTGCATTTAATCGCTGGATTTCCTAAATCCCAGCTTAACGTACTGGACAGGAGACAGGATTTCTTATCCCTGGTGCAAATAATCATCCTATGCATGAGATGTAGCCCTCAATATTTCTTCCCTTAATTTATGCCCTCTTCCAGCTAGACTTGCATTCCTTGTTGGCCAGCAGGTTGCTCCCTGGGAGCGCCAAGAGGGGTAGCACCAGACCCACAGACACAGATGTGTCTGGGGAAATTCTGTGCCAGATCTGAGCTGGGGTGTTTCTGCAACTACAGTGGCTCCTTTAGGAAGGGTGTTTCTCAGTTCCCTTGCATAGCATGAGAAATTAATTCCTCTCTAAATAGCTCTGTAGCAAGACAATCCAGCTAATCCTTCAAGAGAAACTTTATAATTGGCCCCGTAGTTTCTTTTCATCCTGAAGAAATCATCTGATGAAGTACCTGGGTGGGAATGAGGTGGCCAGGTGTTCCCTTTTCCCTATGAGGGTTCCCACTGCACATGGCCAGGATGTTGTGAGGACTGTCCAGCAGTGCAGGAGGGTGGAGGGCTCTGTCAGGGCAAAGGGGGCTGGCAGTGGCTTTGTACCACCAGCCTGTCTTAGCTATGGGGGACAAAGTCTCAGCAGAGGAGCTGCTCCGTGCCCCTGGAAGGGACATCCAGGGTGGGCCAAAACCTGCAGATTGTTTTGCGTTGTGGTTGGGTGCCCACTTCACCAGCGGGACTCTGCGATGGAAGTTTTAATGCCTTTGTGTTTGGTGGATGTTTCAGCACCCAAGTCTTTGCTATTCCCATAAAAATTTAGCAGCTGCTCTTTGGAAAGCACAAGCAGGCCGGGTTGAGATGGACCACCTGGGCTCCTCAGATGGTCCTTTTCCTCCTTTGGGGCAAGGGTTGTGTCCAAACAAAGCATAAATCTGAGGAAACCTGTGGAGGCTCCCGTAGCAGGCAGGCTGTTGGAACGCTGAGCTGGCTTCACGTGTCTGAAGTCAAGTGAATCCACTGTTATGACACATGGAGACAAACACCCGGAGCTCGGTGACTCCAAAGCGCGCTCCTCTGGGGCGTGTGTGGGAGCCGAGTTTATATTCCCTGCTGCATCACTCGGCTCATGGCTGCTGTTTTACAGAAGGCTGATTCTCTAGTGACTCCCCCCCACACACACACACACACACCCCGGGCTTGCTTTTTAACATCCTTTTGATTTGTTTCTCTGCAAGGCATCGAAATGGAAATCGTCGATAGCTGCCAGGACGGCAACGGGGGCTGCGAGCACCGCTGCGAGCACACGGCCGCGGGGCCCCGCTGCTCCTGCCACAGCGGGTATCGCCTGGGGATGGACGGACAGACCTGCTCGGGTAATCCAGGGAGGGAGGAGGAGTGGGGGGCTCTGCAAGGGGAGCTGTCGCTCAAGGAAATGCCTTCCCACCCCTTCCCTTCTTCTGCGAGTGTTAATTAGCGCCGTCCTCCGGCGCTCGCTCGGCGCTGCTCCAGCTTGCCCTGCTCCGCTGGGATTGTTCGCTGGCGAGGGGAAGGAGTTCTGCCTCCCACGTGGAAGATGGCACTGGTGCATCACCAGTTGTCATGGCTGTGTGTCACTGTATGCAGCCCTGACTTGACTCGATTTTCCTTCCCTTCTCAGCCGGTGGCTGGGAAGAGGTCGGCTGTGGCTGGGAGCAGCAGCTCGGCTGCTCTGAAGTGCTTCATGCTCAAACCTTGCTTCATGTTATGGAGGTTGCTGTGTTTCCACCAGATTTACTCAGCGATGAGACTGTGCTTCTGGCTGTGGGAAGTCTCACTTGGGAAGTGAAAGCAATAGAGTTAGATTTGGGTTTATTTCAAGAGAAGAGCTTAAAAATTCATTCATGTTTTGAGCAATTTTGCTATGGATTTGTTTTGTTTTGTTTTTTTGGGATGGGTTTATGGCTTTTGCAATGCAAACTTTATCTCATTCTGGTTTCAACTTGCTGTCACTGAGCCATTAAAGTTTTCAAGAATAGCCAAGAAGAGGTGGAGGGAAAGGAGCAGGCATCACAAAGCAGTGTAGTAAGACATGAGGAGAGGTAGAGAGTGGGAGCACTGGTGAGTGAGAGGCATTACAGACAAAATGAGTCTTGCAAGGAAAAAAAGCCAAGTGCAGGAGAGAGGGGGAGCAGGGGAGGAGGGAGGCAAGGGTGGGTGATGATGGAACTTCGAAAGCAAAACTTAAAAAAGTCTGGGAGGCAAATTTGGAGCCAGAGCCTCACAGGAGTGGGTGGGTTACACAGTCTTGGCTGTTTATGGCTCGCAGGAGCAGAGCATCCTCCTGCCCACACCCCAGCTCAGTGGCCTGCTGATGGGGATTTCAGAGGGAAGCTGTTACTCCAGACACAGAAAGGGAAGGGAGAGCACAAAGGAAGGGTTCGGCAAGGCTGAGGACATGCAAAGTTGCTCTTAATAGCAACAATCTCCTTTTTGTTGGATGGATGTTTTGTATTCCTACACAAACAAGGAGCTGTTGCTGGACCCCAGAGCATCACCTGACGTACTGCAGGGGAGCTCAGCCTGTGACATTTCTGGAAAACACTGCATTCAAATAACCTGCATTAATCTTTTTCACAATGACCTCCTCACCTCAATTGATTAATTACATTTTCTTTCTCCCGTCCGTGTTTCCTCATAAAGTTGGTGCTCCCTCCAAGGTTAATTGAGACACTGACCTTTCCCATCTGCAGCTGCTCAGCTGGGCAACCTTCAGAAGCATTTTGCGGACTCAGCATCGACAAGGTGGCCCTTGGATGGCCACTGACCTGCTCAGCAGCCTGCCTGGGCTGACAGCAGCCAGGAGCCTGCAGTGCAAAGATAACAGCTCAGTCCTCATATCTAATCACCAGAACAGAGGTGTCAATGATACCAGTTTCTAGAGCAGGATGAGGCAACAGACAATTAGTTATCAAAAACTGCAATTAGTTAACAAAAACTAGAATTGCACCTACCAGCTGCTGATGTCCAGTAAAATGCCTCGTTGGATCAGAGCATTGTTTGACTGTTAGTTTGCATTGAATAAGGCTAAGTGTAAAGAGGTCCAAATGGTTAAATTTAGGTTACTGTTAAGTAGCAGGAATTTGAGGGCTGGTGGGTCCTAGCTGTTGTCTGTTCTCTTAGAATCATAGAGTATCCTGAGTTGGAAGGAACCCACAAGGATCAAGTCCAACTCCTGGCCCTGCACAGGACACCCCAAGAATCCCACCATGTGCCTGAAAATGTTGTCCAAACACTCTTTGAGCTCTATCAGGCTTGGTGCTCTGGGGAGTCTGTTCCAGTGCCCAAACACCCTCTGGGTGAAGAACCTTCTCCTAATATCCAACCCAAACCTCCCCTGACACAGCTCCAGCTGTTCCCTTGGGTCCTGCTGCTGGTCACCAGCAAGACCAGCTGGTGTTTAGTAAACCACCTCGTGGCAGCTGAGACTTGTGGAGGAGATGCCTCTCCCTGGACATGGAGGGTGTTGGCTGCTATGGGAGAAGGTAGAAGACAGCTGCTGTCATGATTCAGGATTCAAGCAATGCTTTAGGTGGGTGAAGGGAGAGGCAGACATAGAAAGGCATGTGCTGAAGCACAATATCCGTGAGCAGAGCTGTGGCAGCAGCTCAGGCTGTGTCCAAGGGCTGAATGTGCTGCCCTTTCCTTGCAGAGGTGGACGAGTGTGAGACTGGAGAGTCCTGCTGCTCCCAGTTCTGCATCAACTACGCGGGGGGCTACGAGTGCGCCTGCAAAGGGGGGTTCCAGCTCAACACCGACGGCTGCGCCTGTGACGGTGAGTCACGGAATCATGGAATGGTTTGGGTTGGAAGAGGCTTAAAGATCATCTCATTCCCACCCCCCTGCCCACGGGTAAGGATACCTTCTGCTAGAGCAGGTTGCTCCAAGCCCCGTCCAACCTGGCCTTGATGGGAGTGGCAGGGACTTCCAGGGATGGGGCAACCACAGCTTCTCTGGGCAACCTGTGCCAGGGCCCCCCCACCCTCACAGGGAAAAATTTCTTCCTAATATCCAATCTAATCCTGCCCTCTGTTAATTTGAAGCCATTCTCACTTGTTCTGTATCGTTCCATGCCCTTGTCAAAAGTCCTTTGATACCAGAGGCTTGATCTAACTAAGCACAACCAAGGGCAGAAGAAATGCTGTCAAAGCCCATTGCAGGGCTTTGTAGGCATTGCCCTAATGAGAGAATCACTGACCCTCTGCCAGCTTTGCTGATAAGGTTTTACTAATGTGTAATTTCCTCTTTGTGAGGCTGGAATACAGGAATAACCCAGCATTCAGCATGGTGAAGAGGGGATATGGGAGATGAGCCAGCAGAGAGGAACTTTTCCTCCTCTCTCCATGGACACTGTATACTGATGTGTGTTAAAGACTCCTTCTACAAAAGAAGAGCCCTCAAAGTAACTGAAGGATCAACTGAGCTTAACAGCTTAAAGCAGCTGTTTGCACTTGAAACAAAAACATCAAAATAATCTGTTCGGCGTTTCCCTAAAATGTTTTCATATCTCCAATACTAGTGAGAGACAGAGACCCAAAGTACGAAGAAAATTCGGTTTTCTTATGTGTAGAACAGTTTGTCCGATGCAGCCGGGCACAGCATGTGCTCTCCAACAGAGGTACTTGCTCCTAATCACCATTTCTGTCTGGATTTTCTAGATGTGGATGAATGTCGTGTGGATAACGGCAACTGCCACCACTTGTGTGTTAATTCCCTGGGGTCGTACGAATGTGCCTGCAAGGAGGGCTACAGACTCGGGGATAACAGATGGGCCTGTGTCGGTGAGTTCTTCTTGTATCTTGAGGACCATTAAGTATTTAAAATGTGATTTTGGAGCTGGGATTTTCACAGATCCTGGGATTTTGGGAGCCCAACTGGAGCCACCTCTGAACGTGGCCAGGGCAGAGCTACGTGCAGCGCGTGGATCCAAGTTCATCCTCCAGTAATGGGTTTTGCCAAAGATTATTGGGAGATGAACACTTAAATCCCATGGATATGCTCAAAAACCTGAAGCTCATGTTTTTGAAATAAATAGAGTTTTGACAGTTTTCTTTCACTGTTTGATGAAGTTTAACATCCTGTGGAAAAGAAAAGGTAGCCAGACTCCGCTCTGATCAACCACGGCAAGTTTTCCATTAGTCAGTGCTGTGAGGCTGGATTTCTGCCAGTGTAACCAGTACAGAGTTCAGCTGAGCAACTCGATTTTACAACCAAGTTTAGCACCTGCTAAAGCTTAGGCAGAGTTTGATACTTTAACCAACACCAAAAAGAAAGCCAACTGATTTCCCATCATTTTAAGGCTCAGATTTTACTGTTTCTGAAAATAAATTGCGCAGCCAGCCTCACTCTCTATTTGTCATCTCCAAAACGAGCAAGAGTAATGACCTTCATTAACTAAAAATAATCTCAAACTTCAAGTGAGGAAAATTAATCTCCTCGTTTAATTTTTTTTTTTTTTTTTAATTTGCCAGGACCAAAGTTTATTTTCAGAAGAAAGAAAAGGGAAAGATGGGAGGGGGTTCCCCTTTTCTCTCTTTTTTTTTTTTTTTGATAGCAGAAACTCTGTAAATCCAGATGAGAAAACGACTGGGCTATGACTGCTGGGCAAACCGAACAGGGACGCCGCTGGAAAACCTACCAGCGTCATAATAATAATAAAAAAAAGATGTAAATGAGAGGAATGTGCTGTGGAGGAAGACTGAGGTGCTGATGGTGTGTGTTTGTGTCAGCCCTAGGTGGGGAGGAGGCAGATGCAGAGGAGGCAGTGGGGTTCGCCGGGGCCCCGGGGCTGCAGTTCCGGGGTCCCCCCCAGCTCCTCCGCTACGCGCTCGGGGCCCCGTACGAGGATGAAGACCCCCGAGGAGAGCTCACCCTGGTGCACAGGGTTGGTGAGTGCCCTGAGTTCTCTGAGCCACCACAGCAAACTGGGGGGAACGGTCTCGGAAAGAGGATTTGGGGCAAGAGTTGTGCTGGGCTGGCCGGGCTCGAGTGTCGGGAGGAGCAGAGGAGGGATGGGCGTTAATCCTGCTTCCTGCCTGGCTCCGTGCCAGCAGGGGTGAGGCTGTGTCCCAGCCCAAATGGGACATGTTTGAGGAGCTGGGAGGCTGCCTGGATGCAGTGGGGAGTTCAGGGGGAAAGTGAGCAGCACAGCAAGCAAGGACTGGGAGACTGCTCGGAAAACAGGGTGTCTGCACAGAGCCCCAGAGGCAACAGCCAGAGGGATCTGTTCATCCCGAGGGTAAGAGGATTGTGTGGGTTACTGAGTGTACAGAACCCCTTGGGAAATGCTCCGTTTCTCCCAGAGCTGGGAACGGGAGTGTGGGGGCAGCACGTGTCCCTGTGTACAAACTCTTTCGTAACAACTGGAGGGCTTTTGTTTAAGATATTTGGATCTTTGTTTGTGGAAAAAACAACCCTCTGAGGACTCAGGCTTATCTTGATGTTATGGGCATGTTCTCCAGGAAAAGGCACAAACACATCCACGTGTTGCTCAGGCTGGCCAAGGGCTCTGCACCAGTGGTGACAATCAGCACAGGAGCACCCACTGTCACAGGAGTGGGTACAGAGCAGCTTTGCAAACCCACATGGGCTTTCCATGACTTCAGTCCTTCCACCTTAAAGTGGAAACTTTACCACTTAAAGACTATTACGAGGTGAAACCCTGTGTTTGCTTTGTGCTGAGTGCTGATGGGTCACCAGGGACGAGTGAGATTTCTTGTTTTTCCTCTGTGTGTCCTGTGATTTTTATATATGCTCTAATTAGTCATCTGAGGACTGTGCCCTACAGGCAAAAATCGGGAGCTGGTCTTGACTTTGATAAAAAATTAACTTATTTTTATGAACAAAACTGTTAAGACACCCCCCCCCCCCAAATCACACAGCATCGAGCCGGACTCAGTGACACCGATAACCAATTGGGAAGCTGATAAATGAGATAACCACGGGCAAAATTATCAGGCCTAGAAACCACAATCAAATATTTATTGACCATTTTTTTGCATGTTTTATTTATATTTAGCCACAGAAATTTGGGTGTTATCAGTCATAGCTGAGAAGCTGCACTTTTTCTAAGGCTGAGGCTTTGCAGCACACGGTGGTTTGTGGGAAAAGGTGATGGAGAAATAGAACTTTAAATGGTTTAGTAGATTCTTTTGCCTCCCAGATAGCAATTTATTGCCTTTACTTTCAGACATATTTTTGAGCTGCCATCTATATTAGAAAAAGATCATGTTTTATCAATAAGCTGGTGTAAGTAATTAAATATTTTCTACAGCTTGAATGACTTTTTAATGTGGAAGCATAATGTTTTTAAAGGTGATCTGTATTCTCCTCCTGAAGTATAAATTTGTAACCTGTTCCAAGTGGGAGCACTGGGATTCTGAATGCCTCTGAAAGCTTGGGCATTTTTTTCAGCTGCAGAAAAGGGAACAAACAGTTGGGTGCTCAGACCTAGAGGAAATCTGTCCTCGCATAGAAAATTGCTGGTGAAAAGCAACCAGCCTGTGACTTACTGGAGGCTGTAATAAGCTGCCAGCTCGCTTTCAGGTGCTGTTCAAAGCCTCCTTCCAAAAAGCCTCCAGCCACAGCCACGGCACCTCAAAGGCAATAAAGTGACCATGTGGATGGGATCTTAATGCCACTGAGGTATTTTATCAGGCAGTAACATTTATTTTCTATGTTTTTCTCAACCGACCCCACAAAGAGAACGTAAGGGTGCAAGGGAGAAAAGGAGAGTGGAGAAGGGGAGGGAGGAATGCATTTCCATTTAAGGTTTCCTCTATAAACTAACTCCTTTTTTCACATCCACGAAGAAAAAAAGGAAGCGATAAATGTGTATTTTGCTTTGTTATCCTAGAATAACACTCAAACTATCCTGTTAAAAACATCAGTGATCAATATTTAAATAGCACCACATCTACTTACGGCAGTAGAACAACAGGGTTAACCTAGCAAGGAGAGAAGGAGAGTCACTCCCAGTAAATTCAATATTAAGCAGTAGGTGCAAATTCACTTTTTGTGAAGGCAAAATATTTGCTCTTAAGAAGTAGCTCGAAGCGCTCTTTCCTGGTGAATAACAGCATTTAAGGGAGTATTCAGCTAAACTCCCAGCTTCCCTTTTACTGAGAGTCAGAATTTCAAAGAGGAAAATTCAGGAATCTCCATTTCGGACTATCCTCTGCACCGAATCGGTGGCATTTGCAACCTAATGACAGGTAAGGGCTTGTGTGGGAGCATTTTGTGTGGCTGCTCACTGAGCACTGTGTATGTTTTTCATTTCAGTTTGCCTTGATAACACTTTTGGCCACGACTGCAGCCTGAGGTGTGAGGACTGTCAGAACGGGGGCCGGTGTGACGGCGACCACAGCGGCTGCGTTTGCCCCCCTGGCTGGACTGGGGTTGTCTGCAATGAGAGTGAGTACAGAGGGTCTGAGAGGTGGGCACTTGGTCCTCGTGCTGGGACACTGCAGGTAGGAAAAAAGAATAACCTGTTGTGCTTCTAATCCTAATCTGCAAAGCTCTCTGAGGAGCACATCAAAGTTTTATTGTATTGGGACACATTAAATAGAAATAGTAAGGGATGCTGTGGGACACAATGCAAACCCTCAAAGAGTGAGGTCCCTGCCCTCCGGTGCAGGACAAGACAAAATCATACCTCTCCTAAATATTTTGTTGCAGTTCATTCACTCTACTGCTAAAAACTGCCAAAGTTTACTGGCCATGCCTCATTCTACAGCTTGCCTCAATGACTTTCAGAAGTCTGTCTCAGCAGCTAGTGTGACAATCTGGGTGGACATGTACACTAAATTTGAGTTTTCCATTATAGCATCTCAAGACATTGCCTTTTTTTTTTTTCCTATTTTTTTCTCCCTATCATTCTTTATATTATTAGCATCATATTCTTGGGATGACTAATTTTTTGTATTGGAAATTGTATTTTTCAGAATTCTCTTGCCAAGTCAATGCCCTTTATAATAGCTTTCACTCTTCTTATTCCTGCTTCCTGGCAGAAGATCTTTCTGATTCAGAAGTATGTGTCAAAACCAACTGGAAAGAGAGTGGTGATTTCTTGATTCACTGTTTTTCATCTGCAGTTTGGCAAAACTTGTCTGTTGCTTGTCTGAGCAGATTTCCTGTGCTTTTGAGATGGGTCCCTTTATTTCACGGTGTGTGATATGATGGCCCATCACACTCAGAAAGTCTGTGCTGTCACTGGTGAGACAAAGAGTCAATGAAAATTTATTACTTGACATCAGTAGACAGCAATCTTCAGGTTAATTGCCATCAAGATTGTTTATCAGGTGTCAGCACAAGGACAGAAATATAGAAAACCCAGCAAGTGATTGAAACCAACAGTCTGCCCGTAGTTATTTTGGGAGACTGATGGCAGGTTTGGTTTGTAAACGCTGGGGACAGCTGAGAGAATAGGAATGGAGAGGTTTAAAATGATAATTTCCAGTCTCTCTGAAACAGTTATCAATTATCAAATATATCAGTTTATCAAGTTAGCATATTCTTCTATTCCTGGTGTTCTGATGGTTCAGGACAGATCGTAAAAATCTCAAGGTAGGATCCCAATTCTCTAGTTAATTTTATAAATTATAACTTTTTTGGTGTATATTTACAGTCAATATCCATTGGTGGAATTCACCTCTAGAATTTAGAGAACTTTTTAATAGGGCTATGTTATTGAGCCAAATCTGCAGTCCAGTGAAATAGGCATTGATGGTGATAATAACATATCTAATCTGTATGAATTAGCCATAAGTGATTGCTTTCACTCTTTTCTCTTACTTTTTTAATATACAGCCTAGTTCATGAGTTTGGGGTAGGCTAAAGCTGTTGAGAAAACTGGAACTAAATTTCTCTAATAATGCACCAAAGAAACCGAATGAAAATTGATGTGAAATGTCAACTTTCTTAATGTACATTGATAAAATGTCAGTTAAGTCAGATGACTCCAGCCACTGTATTCACTCAGCCAGCTCGGGCTGCAACAGTGGAGCGAGGCTTCATCTCACAGTTTGGCTTTGCTTTTGTGGCCCCACTGCTGCCTCGATCATCTGGGCGGTTTCAGAGGCTATGTTGGAAAAACAGAGGGTTATTTTCATCATAGCATTTGGGAGAGGGGGGAAAAAAGTGTTCAAAATTTTTATCTCCAAATATTCAAAACTGTGCTCTGATTTTTAAGCTCTGGACTTGACAGACAACGGTTTTTGAGTAGAGGGGAGGGGAGCACATGCAGGGGAAGGTTGGGTAAGTGATGTAGCACTTCACAAAGCTTGATTAATTCGGGTGTCCTTTGAAATGTTCTAGTAAATACCAGGTGGATGTCCATTGCCTTATATAGAAAGAATGTGACTCTGTTTAGAGCCTGCTGGACTAAAAGGACTCTCTCCTTGCTCAGTTTTGACGACTGAAGTCTTATTTCGCTTCCTTTACAGCAAAGGGGAAGGATTTCTTGGTCTGCTCACCTCCCCTGCTCTCTCCACAGCTTGTCCCCTCGGGACCTACGGCAGAGGCTGCGCTGGTGTCTGCAAGTGCCAGAACGGAGGCTCCTGTGCCCCCGGCACGGGGCAGTGCCAGTGCCCGCCCGGAGTGCACGGCCGGCTCTGCGAGGACGGTACGGCCCCCCCTGTGCCTGAAGCACCTCCACCTCTTCCCCCTTTGTTTCTTTTTATGAATAACGAGCCAAACAGCGCGTGAGAAAAAGCAAGTGGCTGGTGAGCTCTGGGTCAGCCACCAGCCGGCGTGGGCTTTCTGTAGCGCCAGCTAAAGGCAAACCGATTTGGAGCTGGGGTTTGAACCCTTGGCAGCTGATTCCTCGCTGTGTTTGTGCCCTCCAAAGGTTGCCCGAGAGGATTCTTTGGGAAGAACTGTAACAAGCCGTGCCACTGTGCCAACAAGGGCTACTGCCACAGACTTTATGGAGCCTGCCTGTGTGACCCCGGGCTCTACGGGCGCTTCTGCCACCTCGGTAAGTCCCCAGCAGTTTTTTGGATCTGTTTAATGCACATACCGCATAACAGTCTTGAAAGATTCCACATTGTGTAAAGGAGGCTTGCAAAAAGAGAGGAGAGTGACTTTTTACACAGGAAAGTAGTAATAGGACAAGGGGGGAATGGCCTTAAGCTGAAGAAGGACAGGTTTACATTAAACATTAAAAATAAATTCTTTACTACAAGGGTAGTGACTGGCACAGCTTGCCCAGAGAAGCTGTGACTGCTCCATCCATGGAAGTGTTCAAGGCCAGGTTGGGCAGGGCTTGGAGCAACCTGATCTAGTGGAAGGTGTCTCTGCCCATGGCAGGCAGGTGGAACTAGATGGGCTTTATGGTCCCTCCCAGCCCAAACCATTCCATGATTCTGTGATAAAATGAGTGAGGCTTCGGGTTCTGCGATAGGCTGGGAGTAGCAGGAGGACAGAACTTTTGATGTGTGTCAGGAGACCCCAAAAACTTCATTAATCTTTTTCTCTAGCGATTAGTCTTTGCCCTAAGGACAGAGATTTACTGACACAAAGCTGAGGACCACAGGTAGGGTTGGGTTGGGGTGGGCAGATTAACATCAGGGTTACTGCTGAGGTTTGGAGCTCATTAGAGGCTGCCAATGTGGTTGGAGTGGGAGCTGAGGAGAAGAGGCAGGATGAGGGCAAAATGTTAAATGGGGAAAAAAAAATTAAAAAAACATTGCAGATTAGATGATCAAGTTTCTTTGTACTTACAGGTTTTGTCTGTAAAATCTATGCAAGACTGAAAATCTTCTGTGTTTTATTTTTATTTGGTTTTGTGATTTTTTTTATTTTTTTTTTTTAATGAAAGCTTTTCCCTTGGAACGCATCCAAATAATTTTTCATTCAGAAACATAGTTAAGTTTGCTTGGAAACATTTCTGGTTCTTGCATTCACATGTTGCTTGACATGAAATGAATCACTTAACACAGGAGTCATGTGAAGTCTATTTTACCCACCCACGCAGGGGCAGGTGCTGCCACAGGAATGGAGGGGATGCGTTTGCTGAGAGCGAAGCGAGCGCTTTGCTTCTTGCTGCAGTTGCATGTGCAGTTCCAAACAACTGCTGCATAATTACAGGGCTAATGACTGCTTTTCATCTGGCTGCAGCCTGTCCCAGGTGGGCCTTCGGAGCGGGCTGCTCGGAGGAGTGTCAGTGTGTGAAGGAGCACACGCTGGAGTGCAGCACCAGGAACGGCTCCTGCACCTGCAAGCCTGGTTATCACGGCAAGAGGTGTCAGAAAGGTACCCTAGAAAGCCAGATTCCCCATATCTGCTTGTTCTTTTCTCCTAGTAATTTCTCGTTCTTCTGCCCATCTGTTTTGTTTGGCTGCTGCTACTGATGTATTCATATTCTACTGGTTATTTGGTGTGGGGTTTTTTAGCCCTGTTAGCACAGGGTCGTAGGAACGTCAAGGGGAGTGCAGCTTAAGAATGCAGGAGTTTTACCCTGATAAAACAGCAACAGAAATCCACAAACCAAATTCTAATACAGCCCTGAATAATGAAGATTGTGGGAGTTTTCATTTTTGTTCTTTGCTTTTTCCACGCAGACAGTAAATAAGTGTCAAACCCCATGTTTTGTGGCAGCAGCGTGATTTGTAAGCAGGTTCAGTAACGCTGCTTTTCCTTCAGATTTGCAGCCCTTTGAATTCAAACTTATTCTTTGTAGTTTTTGGGGGGTAGTTCAAAGAGAATTGTATTCCACATTCATGTTTGCATGTCTCAGTAGCCCTTTCCAGACAGCAATGGAGTAAAGCAATAGAGATTCTTCCCTGGGCAGACAGGAACATGTCAGATTGATGGTACTAGTTCTGGGGCTTTGGTAGAGAACAATAGTGACAATATTTCATATTTTTAGCATTCTGGGTAATGGGCAGTTCTGGCAGGGAGCATCCCTTGCCCAGCACTGCCTCTGCACCAAGGCAGAGAGCAGCAGAATGTACAGACATGTAAGAGAACTCTGTAATGGCTATAATTGAATATATCCTGAAGTATTCTAATTGAATAAGTTACAAGTTAATTAAGTACTCTGCCACTCTGTTTCTGACTTGTATATAAGCAGAAACCTCTGTGAAATGTCCACACAAATGTTTATTAAGTATTTACATTTTGTTATCACCACCTCTTAAAACATACATTACTTTATGTTTTTAGTTCAGTTTTCTTAACTCTTTCTTTTTCTTATACGTGTTCTCTGTCTACTTCCATTTCCAGAGTGCACATCTGGCTTTTATGGAGCTGGGTGCAAACTGAGATGCAACTGTCCTCCTGATATTTTGTGTGATCCTGAGACAGGAGTCTGCAAACATCCATGTCCACCTGGCTTTCATGGAGAAAAATGCCATTTATGTAGGTACTCACTGCATGTTTCCCTGGGAGATGCACTTTGGATGGGAAAGATTATTCAGGAAACTTTCGTTCAGATATAGAAGTTGCAAATAAAAGGGCACATTTGTTGTTGATACGAGCTGACAGTTCCCCACTGAAACCAAACTGATATTTGGAGCCTGGCAAATGCTGCCTCCCTCTGCTTGCAAAGGTTGAGGCACAAGGCTGAGGCCAGTTATTAAAACTAGCATTTGTGCAGGGAACTATAGTTGCTTTTAAAGCTTCAGGCACAGAATTTTCCAGAGCTCTGTTGCAGTTACAGACCATGGGTTGCTGAGATGCTGATGCTAATATTGATCACTCTTACCAGTTCAGCTCAGTTTAAAATTGGTGGTGGTGGTGCCTCCTAATGTCTTCAAAATGCTTCCTAATCGGGTCTTTGGGTTTCTTTCACCCAGCTTGTCAGCCTGGGAGCTTTGGGGTGAACTGCAGGCAGAGGTGCAACTGTGGAGGAGCACCGTGTGATCCGAAGACAGGGAAGTGTGTATGTCCAGCTGGCAAGACTGGTGCTACGTGTGAGCAAGGTGTGTGGGACCAGGGTGATAGACATGATAAGAAGTGGAATCACCCTGTATCCCACCCAAACTGCTGCAGTGCAGAGTGCTTCATTTGCAGAATGGGCAAAGGATCAGTCTTGGGGCAGAACAGGTGACATCCACTACGTGGGATTGCTTGGAAAAGAGGGAGTGTGGCTCACTTACCCTGCCCCATCTCTCTGCTCCAGTTAATAATGGTGATTTGCATGCTGGGTTGGGTTTGTACAAGCTGGGCAGAGATGTTGGTGCATTGCAGCAGCTCAGAGTCCCAGAGCAGAGCTTGGGCCTGTGCTGCCACATGCACACAGGGTGTCTCAGGAGCTGTGGAGGAACCTTGGCCAAAGACAGCTGTTGTGGAACCAGCAAGAACCTAGAATGGAGGAAGTAATTAAAAAGGACAGTATTATTGTGGATAATTAAGCAAAGGGATGCAAAAAGTCTCAGAGACACTAAACTACTAAGGAGACATAGGATGCCCCCTGGCCAGTCTCAAAGCTCTGGCTGTCACATACCTGAGGAGCATCTGCTGGACCCAGGTTGTGTCTCACTGCTCCACAGAGCACAGAGGAGGTGGAGCTGTGTGGAGACCTGGGCTCCAGCTCACATCCAGGGCTGTATGACCAGCCTGACCCCCACTCAGCCCAGCAAAAATACAACAGCAGCCCTCCCCTCCTGCAGATTACCATCCTCTGGAGATCTCCTTTGCTGAGTGCAATAATTAATTTTTCAGACACATCCAAATACTCCTGACATTACTGTGCCAGAGACCGAACTGGTAAACAGACACACAGTGATGGAAGTTGGGAGAGAGCCTTTGGGTCTGTCTTTAGCTGAGTTCTCATGTGCTGCAGTGTACTGTGACAAGGCTGTAGGTCTGTACAGACAATATAACAATGCAGCTCAGTTTTACTAGTATTTTTAAATTTTTCTGCAGAAATCTGTAGCTGTCCTGAAGCAGTAAATGGACACCTCGTGTTTTCTTCCTTAGATTGCCCAACTGGCTGGTGGGGACCAGACTGCCAGTCCTCCTGTGAGCCCTGTGCCAATGGGGGACAGTGCAACAGAGAAACTGGAGCCTGTGACTGTGCCCCTGGCTACACTGGGGCATCCTGCTCTGAGGGTAAGTCCTTGCATCAACCTTCCCCATGAAAAGAGAGTCAGACTGAAAATTCAGTTAATGATTTCTACCTTCTTGTTGTTTCATGAGATGCAACGTGCTGATCCAAAACAAAGTGCCCTTCAGCTTCAGGAATTCAGGACATTATTTATGGAAGGGAGATATTGCAGATAAATGCAGATGACCAGCTAAACTGCATCCCAAATGGATGTTATCATTCGACCTAATTTATGGCAAACAGTACTTAGAAGTAAAATGCTTTAAAACCACAACGCTTGCACTGTAATCCTGGCTGCTTGGCACAAGGTTCTGACCAGCTGACCTGTATGGCATCACCTTGGGTTATGTTTGGAGCAACATTCTTTGATGTATATAATTTAGGATCAAATAATAGTGAGGATGAAGGATTAGTATCAGTGCTATCCTTGCAGCCAGAGACCATGGGAATATACTCAAGCAACTGCTTTGTGCTGCTTATCCAGCCTCTGGGTGTTAAAAGGCTGGAGTGTGGCTGTTGTGCTGCACAGACAGGTTCTCAGGGACAGCCCTGCTTTGTGCCAGACCTCAGTGGTGGCATATTTTAATCCTTGTTAGCCACAAAGTGAATTTTAGGGAAGGTTTGCTCAGCAGTTTTTCCTCCTCTGAGCGAGACAGATACACAGAAGTACCCAAAAGTCACTCGAGCTATTCCCACATTACAGGACTTGGCCCCAGCCAACCCAGGGTAAAAATTACAGGTATTTCTTTCATCACTGTTTTGATTTCTGGATGCAACTGAATCATGTTTGGGGAGGGTGAGACGTTGCTGTCTGTTTGGAAAGGTCAACCTATGCCTGACCTAGGTGAAATCACAGTCTGCCCGTCTGTCCTCAGCCTGCCCCCAAGGCTCCTATGGACCAAAGTGCCTGTTGCTGTGCAGCTGTGGCAGCAGTGCCCAGTGTCACCACGTCACTGGAGAGTGCTCCTGTCCCCCGGGCTGGACTGGCCACGACTGCAAACACCGTAAGTCAGGGCACCCGGTACCTCCCAGGGACTCAACTGCACGTGGGAGAACCAGCTCTGTTTGTTCTTAGTCTGTTACAGTTTTTTTTTAATATAGTTTTGTTAATCTTGCTGCCTCTGAAATTGTGTGTTTATGGGTTTGCACAGCCGGGGTGGCTATAATCCTTAATTATCCAGGTTCAAAGCATTGAAATAGATGGCTGATGAAGCGCAAAGTATTGATATAAGCTCTTATTTCAACACTATGGATCCCTTTGCCCAATACCATCTGTCCCGTCAGCTTTTTGACTGACAGACAGTTTTGTTTTTCATTTTCAGCGCAGATTAGATTTGAGATTAATGCTCCATTTTTCATTTTGTTTGGGGGAGATTTATTCAACAAGTGAGTGGCACGTAGAATCGTGTGTCTAAAGGTCACTTTTTAACTTGGGAATATAAATGCTGTGAGAAATTCTGTTCTCTGGAAGAGCACAGCATCCTTCTGTTGACTTTAGCATCACTCACCATATTGGTGGCTGTGTAAGAAAGTAGATTTGCCCTTTTTGGATGGCACCATATAAATGTGAAGCCATCCTGCTTGATTCCTTCCTTTTCCTGTGACACATCTATTCTGCTTGATTCCTTGTGATGCCTCTTGCAAAAAGCCAACAGAACAAAAACCTCTCTCTAAACGTGGTCTTAAACACATAAAATCATTTAAATTAATTACCAGTGTTGACAGCAGTAAGTTTTGGACCTGTCTTCTCAGGCTCTGTACTGAAGACAACTCTGGGAAAATCTGAAGTTTCCACCAGTGTGGGTATTTCAAAAATCAAACCAGCTGGCAGCGTGTAGAGCCGTTGAGATGGCTTTTCATGACTCCAAAGGCTGTCTAAGGAACTGAGAGACCATGGCAAAGAAAAGCTTTTATTTCTATTCAGTATAAGATCTGAGAAAAGTTGTTTTGCAGAGTTGTCTCGGCAAGGCACCTCTTCCAGCAGTTGCAGACTGGAGATGAAACAGATTACCAGCTCCAAAACCTCCAAAACCAGGTTTTTGTTGCTCTAATTGACACTTTCATCTTTATACTCACACGAAAGAGAGGAGATGCCGCAGCGCATTGTCATGGTTGTGTCAGATGTGATTTTGAGAATGAAAGCAAAAAGTTTCTTTAACAAACATTGTGAGAGTTCTCTATAATGTTATTGCATTTCCTAGTATTTTGAAGAAATCATGGAAAGTGCTCCCAAATCCGTCCAGTTTTACCCCTTAACTCTTCTGGTTATGCAGATTTTTGCTAAGTGAGTCAACAGCTGATATTTTATTTCCATGAAATTATGTGCTTGTGGCTGTGGATTGATTGGTATGGATTGACTACCAAGGGTTAGTTTTATGTGGATGGGATACTATGTGCCTACTTTCAGCCGAAATAGTTGAGCAGAAGTTGTCTTTGTTTCCACTGATTTGTGCCCATGCTGCAGCGGAGACCTCGCTCCAGAGCTGCCGCACCGTATCGCGAATTTTCTGCTCTCTCATTTAGAAGTAAAATAACACACAATGTGGGTTTGAAGGTGGTTCCCAATGTAAATCCCACTTTCCCCTGCAGCCTGCGGCAGTGGCCGCTGGGGCCCGCGCTGCGAGAACTCCTGCGCCTGCAGCAACGGCGACGGCGGCTGCGACCCCGTCAGCGGCTCCTGCCTCTGCGAGCCGGGATTCACCGGGACCCGCTGCGAGCACAGTAAGTGCCCACCCCGTCAACACATGGAATCTGCAAACCTGAGCAGCGGAAACTGTGTTTTCCCGCGCTAATTCCCCGCAGGAAGGACCCCCCCCGGGGCTGTGCCGCCCCCGGTCTGCCCAGCGCGTCGCTGCGCTCTCGGGTTTCGTCGGGGTTAGATCCCTTCCTTAATCTGAATTCCAGAAAAGGTTTGTTTCAGGCTTGTTTTGGGCTCAGCAGCTATTTTTAATGTTAAGAACCTCGTGTGAGGGGTAGGACTGATGTATGTTTGCTTTGTGGCGTTAAGGGTTTCCATGTTGGTTTTATTTATTCGGTTTGAGGGCTACACTGTTCCTCCATAAATCTCTTTTTAAGGTCAGGCATACAGAAACACTTCACATGTATATAACATAAGAAAAGTCATGAAGTTTTAGGGTCCTGTGGTTATAAACAACAAAAATGCACACTGGTCTTACCAGATGCCCATGACCTTCACCTTCACCTCCACCAGAGGTCAGTGTTAGAGGTCTTAGGTGTATAAAAACAAGCTTATAGATAATTCCTGATACGTCTCCCCACGTTTCTTCATTTTGTCACTAGTGAGCTCCTTGAAACAGAAGCAATATCTCTATATGTAATACAACTTGTTTTTTTTTTTTTTTCCAATTAATGTACCTATTTTCTTTTTCATTCCGTGCAAGCATTTGGAGTCCACTTCATCTTGTGGCAGTAAGTTGCATGGTTGAGCTGCTATTATTATTATTGATTATATTGATGTTGTTAAACAAAATAAACATTTTATCTATTAGTTTAACAATCTTACAGTAGCACAGATGTAGCTACCAGAGTTTCAGTAGCCTGGGCAGGATTAACTGCTGGTGTCACATGGAAATGTCAAAACAATTAATCTCTAACTGTGACCTAAGACAAAAATGCCTGGAAAGTTGATCTTGCAGCCCTTGTTGCTGTTGGCACAGAGGGAGTGGAAGGCCAATGTGTTGGGAAGACCAGCTCCCAGAGAAAGAGCTGCCAGCTCCACTTCTCCTTCTCCCTTGATCTCTCTCAAAATAGCAGCTTTGCAGACAGAAAGTAGCTAAATAGCTGGTTCTAATCTTGGCTGGCAAGGGAATCAGTGAAGCCATTGCCACTGATGAAACATCTGGCAGTCCCAAAAGTTCTGTCTATGGGGGTTTTTTTGTTTTATTAAGTCTGCTTTTTACCTCACTTGTGTGTGTGTGTGTGTGTGTGTGTGTGTGTATATATATATACATATATATATATAAAATGCATATATATATAGATATGTGTGTGTGTGTGCAAGATTCTGAAAGCCATGATTCTTCCCTAAACATTTTATGCTGCCTTGAAGGTGAGCTCTTTATCCCTGGAGAGCTCCTCTGCTCCCAAGGCATCCCCAGCCTCTCCCTGCGGCTTGGGCTCTTTCCTTTGGCAGGAGCAGGTTCTCTGGAGGGGGTGCCTGGATCTCAACATGCATCACAGCAGCCTGTGCCTGCTCGGGCAGGGGCAGATTCTCTGTGATGGGGACTGTGAAATTGTTTGTGAAGTGTGCTGACCCCTTGTCCTCACCTCAAAAGCCTCAGCTCCCGGCTAAACACCGTCGGTTTGAAGGAAGCTCTGCTGAGAGCCCCACACCTGTGGCTGCTCTGCTGTGTGACTTCCCCTGCAGAGATTCTCTGACTGAAATTTCGAGTGAAAATGCTGAGGAGGATCCAGATTTTAAGGCAGAAGTGCACTTCAGGGTATTTATTTGTAGGACTAGCGTGGGAGGCAGGCAGCACGGGGATCTGCAGCTTTGGGAGCAGGAGGGGATGGAAATGGGGGGACTGAATTTCACCTGTAAGTGCAAACAGTGCATTCAAACATATCCATATTTAAACGATGTCCCATTTTTTGACGATTTTAAAGCAAAGAAATACTTAAAGTACCTTGCTGTTCTCCTGTCTCCTGCCCCAGCTTCTCTGTAAGAGACACAGGTGTTTGCTCCAATTAGGAGAAAGTCACAGCTGCAGGAGCACCCAAATTCACACCAACTCCCATCACTGCCCACCTATGGCACCAAACAGGCAGCACCAAACCCACGCCTTTAGAGAAGAAATGGAATTGTCTTTGAGGACCCTCATTGCTCTCTGTTCTCTGTGATTCTTTCCAGATTGCCTGATAATCACTTCGTTGATGTAAACACTAAAATCATATGCTTCTAGAAGATTATTCTGGCAATAATCTACATAAGTCATTTAGGGGAATAGTCACAAGACCTTCAAAAATTGGTGGAGGCACTGTAATATTTTGTTTAGCCAAGTGCATCTCTGTGTTTCAGCCTGTCCAAAATATCTAATGTGAATTAGGCAACTGGCCCTGTTCTTAATTGATTTTCCTATAATCCTGGAAGAAATTATTTTCTTTCTTAAATGTTTTCTTTCTTCCAATAGCGAGTACCACGCAAAGCTTTTATAACTCCTTACATTAACTGCTGTGGAAATGCAGTTGTTAATCTGTCCCCCAGATGTAATGTTTTCATTTGAATTTTTCAAAGCAGAGCATGAAAATAGAGTGTGCAGCACTCAGTTTGGAGCTTTCCAGAGGAAATCGCCACATTTCATATTTTCTCCAGCTTTCTGGGGAAAGAGGATTTGCAGGAAAACAGAGGAGCTTCTCCCCTCCCAGTTGATGAAGTCCCAGAGGAGATATGCACATAAGCAACTCCAGACCAGTGGGCAAAGTGTTATCAGGCAGACCCTGTGAATTTTCAGGCTTTGCAACTAGAAGATGTTAGTGTTCTTTGCAGAATTTAGCCTTTCTACACCGTGGTGTTTTCCTTAAAATAGATCTTAAAACCAGCCCAGCTTACCTAGACCCCAAGGAGAACACCTAATCCCCTCAGTTTCAAGCCCTTTACCATTACGCCTTGATTCTTCTTTTGGAAACATTTAAGATTTCCCCTGTATCTAAAAACTCCCTGTTGACCCCTGATCTGCTGCAGCACTAACCCCTCCCGTGGCTGTGGTTCCTGTGCTGCAGGGTGCCCCGAGGGAAGCTTTGGCCAGGGCTGTGAGCAGAGCTGTCAGTGCCAGAACGGAGCTGCCTGCGACCACGTCAGCGGAGCCTGCGCCTGCACAGCGGGCTGGACGGGAACCTTCTGTGAAAAAGGTACTGTTGCTCCCTCTGGTCCCTTTTGGGTTTATGCAGAGGTTATAGTTTGTTGTTTTTTTTTTTTTATTCAGGGAGCAGATTTTAAAATTGACAGTGTCAGATTTAGATAAAGCATTGAACTTCCTTGGAAGCCAACACTGAAATGAGATCTTCCATCCTAACTCAGCAAAGCATCTTGCTTAGAGATATGCATAAGGGCCTTGATATATCGCATCTTTGTGGAGACTCTTTTAAAGCAGAGTCCTACTATTTAAGCTCTGAGCAGGAAGATTCTTGTTCAGCCTTACACTTGCTTGTTTCTAGTGCCTCCCTGAAACGATTCAGAGAAAAGCATGGATATGTGCATCATCCCAGTGGAACTCTTTAACAACAGATATACTTTTAAACTTTACAAATCCAAAAGATCACCTCCTATCACATAGTCATTTGGTAAAGTGTTGGACTGGATTTCTTAACTACATTATTAAGTCAGTCTGTGGCATCACCAAAGTGGCTGTTGAGCTGCATCATTATGCAGGTCATAAAAAATGCAACAGAAACAGCATATAGTCACTCATGCACTCTGAAACTTATTTAAGTATAAAGGATTGAAGATTCTATGAATTATGATCCTTAAACCACAGTTGTTTTGCTTAGAAAGCAGCTTTATCAGCCAGTTGACAATGGCAGCGTTAGAGCCACAGTAGAAGGAAGTGGCAGCACTTGCAGGCAGCTGCTGCCCTCTCATGGGAAGGGAGATGCTCCACAGCCTGACCAGGCATATAGCAAAGCACCTGCTGGCTTGTGTTCACATATTGGTTGTTGTTTCCCTCTCATTTTTACCAGGAATTAATATAGAAAATAAATATTCTTTCCAAGGCTCTGCTGCAAACAATGCCTTGTAATTTATGGTACCTCCATTATGTCCCTTTTTTTAATATGATTTAGTTGAACTCTGATTTCCTAAATCTATTAATTTTTTTTTTAATTTTTATTTTTTATTGGAAAAACAAAGCATTCATCTGTGCTGTTGTGTAAATCTGTTCGTTCCAGCAGGAATCATAATGGAGACAAAGAAACTAAATATCCTTTGCCAAAATAGGTGTGAGAAATATGATGTCTATAGGGGGGGAAAAAAAACAAACACAGCTCTCACCTTCCAGATCAGTTATGTTGGACATTTTTATCTTTCTTAATTCCTGAAAGAAGATTGTGGAGGGGAGAGTGGAATTTAGAACTTACTGTTGGTAAAACACTGTTTTCTACGTGTTTTCTCTCAAGCAGGCAGGGTGCTTGATCCGGACTGACCCGAGTTACCTTTTTACATAAAACATTCCAGCCAGAACAGTTTGGCTGCTTCCAAAAGACGGCGAGGGAGGAGAACGTGTGGGTGGTTTGCCCTTGGTAGAACCTTTTTTGGCACCTTTTCTCTGAGGAGCTGCCGCGCTTCTGTTTCTGGTGCCTGGGAGACTGGCAGGGTTTCCTTCTGGCAGGGATGTGCTTTTTGCCGTCCTCTTGGCAATCCACCCACGCTGGCCAGGCTCTGTGCCTCCCAGGCACGAATTTAGGGACTGAGACCCAGCACTGCGGTGTTGCCTCGGACTTTTCACGTCCTGCTGGTGCCTCATCCCACAGCTGGGAAGGACTTTTCCATCGTCACAGAAGTGTCAAGACTGAGACTTTTGCAGCCTTCGAAGTTCAAAGCCCTAGGAGAAGGCAGTCCCTTACAAAATCTAATATTGGCTCATATGAATAATTGGTATCACCCCTGCACAGTGAGGGTGTTTGAACCTGCAGTCATTGCTTCTGGGATTTTGCATTGGGGAAGCAATGTGGGATCGAGATTCAGGGTGGAACTGCAGAAGTCCCAAAATTTGCCTTTGGGTTTTCTGGGATTGGTTTTCATTTCTTCAGGTGGGAGCAAAGTGCTCCTGTTCCTTTTCATTAATTTATGACCTTCAGTATGAAGTAGGGCTTCACAGGTTAGCCTTTCAGTCCCTGTTGGAAAACACCACCTCAGTGGCCGTTTCCAAGTTCTTTATTTGCCACAAATTTCCATAATCTCTTATTTATTAGAATGGTTAATGTAATTTTAGTCCTTCCCAAGTCTCAGCCTACATATATCACCTGTCAGTAATAGAGATAATAGCCAAACACCCCTCCATCATCATCATCATCATTTTCCGGCACAAGACAGTTTCCCAGCTCACCCAGAGCAGGAGATACCTTTGCTCCAGGCTGCTGTTTCATGAGACCTCGCTGTGAATTATTTGGGAGGTGACTGAACTTCTGTGCCCTCAGCCACAGGAAGCTGCCAAAAGACCTCATGCTCTTCAGAGTGCTTTTGTCTGTCCACCAGCATCTCAGTTCAGCTCTGCTCTGAGTCACCTTTGATCAGCTGCCCTTCATCTGGTGGCGTTCAGTGGTACTGCTGCCCCTGCAGTGGTGCTGTGGTCACATAGAATAATGATGGGTAAGAATAAAGCTATTGAGACACTTCCTGAAAGAAAATCAGGCATTGCTGAAAGTGGTACGTGCCTGCTGCATCTTTCACCCCTTCTCAATCCTTTGTGAAAATGAACCTGGTGAATCTTTTCAAATCTGTTTCAAAGGAGTTGCAAAATGAGCAGAACTGTTTCAGTTGCAAAATAGGTAACATTTGCAAATAAGACTGAAAACAAAATAATCTACAAAGAAATGTGTTCGGTCTGTAGGAACAATCTAGGAAAGGCTTCCTTTGAATTTTCTTGAAAGCAGTGACACAAAAAAGAACACCAATGAAATAATATATGTTTCTTCACAAGGTCTTGCATTACCAAAGGAAAATAAATCATTTTTGGTAGATGCCATTAGCAATGCCACTAGATACCTTCCTTATCTGGGTGGAGAATGTTACTTGCTTAGGGACAAGGTACCAGAGGCACAGATGGAGTTCTGGCTGTTCCTGAACTGAAGCAGCAATTAATCCACATTGCTGGGCAAAGGCAAGGGTCATGGCAAAGATGGTTTTGTAAAGTCCTTTCTCTCTCCTGTTCCATCACAGATAACACAAGTAGCAGCTTCTCCAGAAAAGATGCTTCTGTATTCACCCACTGCTGAGGGCCTTTGGTTTTAATGTACTTACAGCTAAACAGGCAAGAGGGGGGGGGGAAATAAATCAAAAAATCCCAACTCCAAAACCAATCTTTATTGTGATAATTAGGTAAATATATAAATTCATACTTCAACTAAATGTAAACATTTGACATGCAGGAGGCCTGAGCCATGGGCTCCTGATGTCAGGCAGCTCAGCACAGCCAGAGGAATCCAGGTGTGCCTCCCTTCCCCAGCCACACTCCAAGATCTGCCAGAAATATGCCAAGCCAGCAGAGTCACCCTGCCCTGAACCGGGGCTGCTCCTGTTTGGGGAGGCAATTGTTATAATTGTTTTAATTCTGTGAAGTGCTGAGCATCTGCTGCTCCCGCTTTGAAGGTTGGGGTTGCCTTCACTGCTCTGTAATTTTGTTTAATTCCATTCCCTGCTGCTGCCTGGTATGTGCTGTGTGACCCAAGGCCGTGTCCAGTTATGGGATCAGGCCAACACCAGAATTATCCAGTTCGCTGGTTCATCTCCCCAAATGCCAGACAATTAGTTCACTAACTGGAGGCAGCAGGAGTCTTGGGCCATTCCTACAGAATATGTATTAATTGATGCATTAGTAACAGCAACATATTTTCCTTGTTGGGCACAGCACTTGGCTTTTGCATCTCAGCTGCTGATCAGCGCTGCCACAGGACGGACAGACTGGACTTCTCCCTTGAGATTTCAGCTGTTAATCATTGTCAGAAGATAGCCCAGCAAGATTGCTGTTTTAGTAAGATAAAAAGGAAAAATAAATACTGTGCATGTCGAGGAACAGCTTACAAGGCTGTGTAGTCCCTCTGTTAAACAAAGAACTTTGTCAGGCTTTGAAGTCAGTGAGGGTTCAGCAGGAGAAGCCTGTCCTTGTCTGCTGAAGCAGAATAAATAGGGACAGAAAGATTAAACCACACACGGGTGGCTCATCCTTACAACTTGCTAACAGCTCTCTCCCAGTGCAGTTTGAGCAGAGGCTGATGGATGCATTATGGTGTTACACTGGTATGAAGCTCTTTTCCATTTTCCTGAGGCAGGACAAGCTTGGGAAGGGTGGGAAAACTGAAGTCTTTCTGGACAGGGCAAAGGGAAGAGCAGCCTTTTGATTTTGAGTAGATGAAACAATGGTTTGTAGTCACAAGCTAAGCAGAAGCTCTGAGAGTAGAGGAGCTAAAGCAGATGCTCAGTGTGTTACACTGCTGCTGTCACTGGATGAAGGTCAGGTTTGCCTCTGGCTATGGATATGGAATTCCCCCACCTCGTAGCCAAAGCAGACAGCTCACTGCTGGAGGACAGAGCTTGCATCCATGGAAAAGGCAGGATGAGCAGACTGAGACGAAAAACCTGGGCATGGAGAAGACACAGGGCAAGAAAAACGACAAAAAAGAGTCCAACGGTGAAAGATGCACATGGATAACTCCCTGGAAGCGTTCAAGGCCAGGTTGGACGGGGCTTGGAGCAACCTGGTCTAGTGGAAGGTGTCCCTGCCCATGGCAGGGGGATTGGAATGAGATGATCTTTAAGGTCCTTTCCAACCTAAATCATTCTGTGATGATACCAGTGTTATTCTGACCTGGTTGAGGGCTGTGAAATTAGTGTGGAGGGCTGTTGGGTAGTGTATGTGATGAAAATTGTCAAAAGACTCAGTTGGAAGACAGTTGTTCTGATTTCATCATAGAAGTGTGAGGATTTGGTTTTAAATATAAGCTTATATTGACAAGGATGACAAAGAGATAAGGTTTATTGAATAACTTATGCTTATCTCATGAGCAGGATAATTCCTGAGACTGATTCAGGGGTTCTGGGGAAAGAGTGACACACAATTTTGTGTCTACAGATTTATTATCACTTAGTGTGACATAAATATAAATCTACTTATATAAGCTAGACAGACACAGATATATGCAGAGATGTTAAATAAAGCTATTTTAATTTTTTAAAAAACTCTACATAGCAGCCTTAGCATTCTTGGAGTGAAACATTTAGCTATGCTGTGGCCCACAGACAAGTACCAATGCTTATTTTCACTGCTTTCAGCACTGGTAAAGATATAAATTGAATCCATGGTGCTGCTCTTCCTTACATCTCCCAGATGTAGGTATATGGAGCTCCTTCAGCTCCCTGGAGTTGTTTTGCTACATTTCATTCATCTTGGTTTTCTCTATTCATTCACTTTGCCAGTTTTTCATTTCAGCACTGAACTGCACCACTGCAGCTGATGTTCGCTGTAAAAAATCTTCAGGAAAGTGTCAGGACAGTAAATGGGAGCAGAAGTTTTGCATTTCCAAAGGGAGGGAGATCAGCAGGGATGGCCCTGGAGTCTCGCATTGTGTTGAATGATTTCTTTTTTCCTCTGTTTGTTATAGAAGCACAAGTACCAGCTTGTGTGAACCCAGCTCTGTTCTCTGACTTGTTTTATGGCTTTTCAATACTCTCAGCCGTGTTTTTCAGTGCAGAAATCCATTGCTTATGTAAAAGGGTCACGTTTTTTCCAAGATGCTTTTAGCAGAACTGTGCAGGCTCAGCCCCTTGAAGCAACTTTGGTTGTTAAGCGTCTGCGCAAAGATGAGCTGGAGTTCACGCAGAAAAACCGAACAGGAACTGGGCTAAAAATGAATGTTTTGCGTTTGCAGCTTGTCCAGAAGGATTCTTTGGGCTTGACTGCCACCAGGTGTGCAAGTGCCAGAATGCTGCTGGCTGTGACCACGTCCTGGGCACGTGCCGCTGCCTGCCGGGCTGGCTGGGAGAGACCTGCGAGCAGCGTAAGTACATCCCAAACTCCCCCAGTGCTGGCATGGGCTTGCCCTGGGAATGCAGGATGACCTGCCGGGGTCACAGAGTTTTAGCTGGGTCGCATTCCTTTCCAAAGATGCCAAAAAAGGGAACAATTTTTGGTGGCTGCGGAAACCGTCAGCAGAATTTTTTTTATTTTTTTTTTTCCGGCTGCTGTTGGCACTCGTCAAACATGATAAGCATCAGGTTTTAAATAGCAGAGCTGTCTCCTGCCATATGACAACCCCCTGCTTTTTATTTTTGTGTGACGTGGAGAGATGAAATGTTGTGTATCTGTTTCTGGCGTATCCCATCTAATTATCAATTATAAAGTGACAGATTGCAAATGCACAAAGTGGAAAAACCAGAGCTGGGACTGTTTTGTTGTTTGAGGGTGGCAAAATAGGTTTTTAACTAGTTATTAGAAAAGTTATTTGTTTTAAAACAAATGTCAGCTTCCTAGATGTTCACAGGTATGGATTATCCCACACTCTTAAAGCTAATAAGGTGTTTGTGTGTATGTAAATATAACATTGTCTCTTCTGAGAAATTTTTCACTACGTTTCATGGGAAATTATATTTTTTTCATTAGCTACATGACTTTACATATAGAAACACTGAGCCCATTTGCAAAGTTTAGCAAATATTTGGGATTTTTTAAGATCAAATATGTGGGCTTTTTTAAGATATTCAGGTTATAGCCTCTCAGCTTCCTTGTTTCACTTTAGGATGATGTCATGGTCTAAACTTCCTTTTGAAAATACAACTGCTGTCTGCAGGACCGTGGGGTAGAGCCGGGCTCCAGAGCAGTTCCACAAGGAGCCAACTCTGACTGTGAACACTTCTTTAAACCCTGGGTAGTGGTTTTCTGCAATAGAGAATTGGTTTAATTTACAAAAAAAAGAGAGAAATGTTGCTTTTATTGAAGCAATTCTATTCTCCAGCCCTATGCCACCTTATCAGCAGCCCTGTTTGAGGGCAGCACTTGCTCTCCGTAATATTTTTCCCTTATTTGCCTACACCATGCGACACAACCCATCTTCTCCTGCAGAATCCCCTGCTCTTGTGATTTACAGGTGGGTCAGTGCTGCTGAATCTTTCCAGGTTTTAGACATTTCTGCCAACATCTCACCATTGCAGTCCTTTTTGCCTCCTCATGCCCCCCGTAGGAACACTTGGCTCTCCATCACCCACCACCTGAAGATGCTGGTGGTAACACGCCCTGTGGCTGTAGTTTAATGGGCTGACCACAACATAAATTCAGAACAAGAGTCGTTTGGCCATCCCACAGAGCAGAAAAGGTGCTGCTGAGCAGGTGTGATGAGCCACAGCTTTGCAGTGTGTCACCTCACCCCTTCCCTGCTCCTTTCCTTGCATTAGGGATGGGAAGCTTTGTTACATATTTCATTAAAATCAATTAAGAAATGCAGCTCTTTGTCCATGGCCTCCTCTGCCCCCTCCCCTACTCACATTAGGAAAAAAAACCCTATTTATTCTCTTGTGCCTGAGCCACTGGAGCTTTGTACTGGTTGATTCATTCCTTGCGCTGGTGAAGATGCCAAAGCCTCCGAGGTCCCTGTAAGTAAAAGAGTGAGGTCAGTGAACGGTGCAGAGTGAAACCAACCCTCTTTTCTCTTAGCTAAGTGGGGAACCTTCATTTTGATTTTACGACTGTGCCTCATCCAGAGCTGCTCAGGGTGAGGCAGCCAGGGGTGGGAGGCAGCCCACACCACTCCTCATCCTCACCGGGTGTTTAATATTCACCTTGCTGGTTCCTGGGACCAGCTCTGGCAGCTGGAAGGACAGCACTCGTGTGGAAGTAATCAGATTGCAGGCAATGTGCTGGAGGATATTGAGGAATAATTTTGGCATCATGGGATTTGAATTGATCTTAAGCCAGCCATGCAGTGCATTTTATTCTCTGCTATCTAATTATGGGCAATACAGACAGTGATGCCTTTTGTTGAAGCTGCCTAATGCTTTCCATTACCAGACCGTGGTTTTCAGTTTGTTTGAAAATGAATTATGTTAAACTGGGATGAAATCTGCCAAGCAAGCTCTTTTTTTTTTTTTTTTTTTTTTTTTTTTTTTTTTTTTTTTTTTTTTTTTTTTTTTTTTTTTTTTTTTTTTTTTTTTTTTTTTTTTTTTTTTTTTTTTTTTTTTTTTTTTTTTTTTTTTTTTTTTTTAATAAGCTGCTTCATTGAGTGTTGCGATGCCTCAGTGATACAGAAGTGAGGATCTGATATTTGGCATTTCTTCAGGACAGAGGTGTAACCTTCCTTTCTGTATACTCCATCCCTGGAAGTGTTTGAGGCCAGATTGGATGAGGTCCTGAGCAACCTGATTTAGTGAGTGGCATCACTGTTCATGGCAGGGGAGTTGGAAACTAGATGATCTTTATGGTCCCTTCCACCCCAAACCATTCTGTGATTCTATACAAACTCATTCAGAGTTTGCAGTCTTAAAAAAAACCAACCCAAACCTCCAGGAATCTCATGCTGAATGTGGTATGTAGAAGCCAAACACAATTAAACATCTGAATTTTGCCCTAATCCTACCAATACTAAAAATACCTCTTTTTTGGAGCTGTTTGGGCTCAGCAGAATCTTCAAAAAAGGGGCTCTCTGTGGTAAAAAAAAAAGAAACCACATTGGTCTGAAAAATAAACAAGTACAGAAAGATTGGTTCTGCCAGAGGCACTGATAACAGAGGTTTGACATTTCGTGGCATGTGAACACTTGATTTTGCAAATTCCCCATTCTTTTAAAGCCAGTGCTTCATTTTGTGGTGAGTGATCCACAGGAGCTGGATAAAAACAAAGCTTCTGGACACCCTGTAGGACATTAGTGCCCATCATTTCCCTGTGCTTCTGGGCACTTTGGGTGGCTTTCGACTTCCAATCTGGAAGAAAATCTCCAGTTTCATATATTCCTTGCTCTGTATGCAAAAATGGGATTTTAAAGACTGCAAACAATTGTTGGAACTTCATGTAATAGCTTCAGTATATAATTTATTTCCTTAATATTTGGAAAAGTACTTTGATAATCAGGATTGTCCCACCAAGAAGCAAAAAGCATTTGTTTTCACCCAATAGAATAATCAAAATTTTCTTCTCTAGAAATTTTTGCTTTCTTACCAGAAGTTTCACTGGAACACTCTTTTATCTTCTCAATAAGTGTAACAAGAGCTCTGCAAATATACTCCAAAAACCTCACACAAACCACTGGTAACCAGTCAGGGGACCTGGTGATGAGCTGGTTTTTCCTTTGGCTTGGTTATGCTCTGGTCTGTATTGTGGAAATATTTAGTTCTGCTCCCAAAATCGAGCCAGAGCTCTGTAGGATGGGCTGAACTTTTCACTTGGCAACCAAGCTTCATTTGCAGAGCAAACTTTTAGCTGTGATGGGACTGAGCTCCTTCTCTTTCTTGTGGTTTCAATGTGAATGAGGTCCAAGTGATGACAAAAATGAACACTGTTGAAAAGAAGTCCTGGGAGAAATGGTGTCTGAGAAAGAGGCTGGGAGGCTGGAAGTCTTCAGATGGGAAGAAAAGGGCTGAGAATGTATCAGATGCTGTCAACCAAGTTCACCTCTGAGACCAAGATGGTTTCACACCTCCCTTCTGTTCCCAGGCACATGTCCTCCTGCAACACTGACACCCTCGAAGGTATAAAGGTTTGGGTCTGAGCCTGGGAGATGTCACATCCAGCAAGTGCAGGACACTCTCCTGGATTAGGGATCTGGGCTTTTTTTGCCTCTCCAGTGCATGCCAGAAGTGCTGCAGGGATGAGAGACTTTGGCAGCTTTGTCCAAGTGCAGGACAACCCCTGCAAGACAGGACAAAAACCATCCAAGGGGGTGATCCAGCTCCATCAAGTCGCTTTGTACTTTTTTGGGGTGATATCTGAAGAAAATAGAGTAGCAGTATCATCTGTTTTCCACCATTTAAAGCTCTCCAAATCTCCAAAGCAGTGGGGACTGCAGGAATTTTATCACTGCCATTTTTCACAGGCAGCAGCGCTGAAAGCAGAGCTGCGGCGAGCGTGCGCTTGCGAGATGGCTGCGTTAAGTTCCCACCTGGGAGCCAGCTGCTTAACCAAACTCACTGAAAATATCACCCCTCTCTGACCAAAGAACGAGAGCCTGGGTGAGCGAAGGCATCCAGCTGTGAAAAATGAACACTGGAAACAATGAAGTTGTCAGGTCTCTTACCAGGATGCAAATAAATACCCGGGCTGTCAGGCGGGTGGTTCTGCTGGACCATTAGTTTAGCACAAAGACATTCCGCAGGGCAGGGGCTGACAGCTGATCCATCACCCCAGCCGTCCAGCCCTTCCATAAAAACCTCTTCAGAATGTGCCATGATACATATTTTTATGCCACATTATTGTGCTAGGCTCTCATAAGATACATTATCTCTAGACTGCAAGTGTTGCTGAGCAATTTCATTTTATGTGATCCTAATTTGCGGAATTGTTTCAAAACACCCTTTGCAGTTGTGCTGGCAGACGCTGTGGTGGACTTGGCAGTGCTGAGTTAACATTTGGACTTAATGATCTTAAAGGTCTTTTCAAACCTTGCTTTATCTAGTGTCAGGTTAATAAATGGTTTTATATATATGTATATATATATTTTTCTGGGAATGGTGGAGTCACCATCCCTTGAAGTGTTCAAAAAAATGAGTAGATGTGGCATTCTGTGATTTGGTTTAATGAGCATGGTGGTATTAGGCCAAAGGCTGGACTTGATCTTGCAATTCTTTTCCATTCTCAATGATTTTATGATTATATATGGTCTTAGGCACCCTCGTGATGAGAAAAGTGTGTCATCAGAAGACAATTCCAATCTGATTTCCCTGGGGCTGGATTGTATCTCAGGTTTGCTCTGTGCAGTGCCTCCTTTGGTGCTTCCTGACAGGGTTTTGTGGAATTCTCTCATTGCAGCCTGCCAGGGGAACAGCTACGGGCCAGGCTGCAACAACACTTGTCACTGTCACAACGGAGCGCTCTGTCATCACGTCACCGGGACATGCCTTTGCAGCCCGGGCTGGAAAGGAGCCACCTGCCAAGAAGGTACAGTTGGAAATTCAACCCCCTGAAGACAGATTTTAGGAGGGAAAGAAATAAAACACCTGCTTGGGGGAAGCTCATTGGCATTTTAACTATCAGCTCATTGCCCTGTGTCGTCACTGGTTCTGCATCCGCAATGACGTGATGGATCCATTAAATAGATCCACGGCACCATTGCAGTGGTGTAGGAGCTCAGTGTGTGCACGGGGCAGAGGGGGCTGAAACAGCCATAAACTGGAAAGAGAGATGATTTGGAGGGCTGATGAAGGGAGAAAAGGTCTCCATAAAACTCCGAGTTATGACACTGAAGTGAAGCTCTGTTTCTTTTCTGTGGCTGATTTACCATCCCATTTGCCCAACTGATCCTCATCGTTACTGTGCACTGTTCCAGACGTGGGCTAAATCCAGGACATGTGAAAGGCATTGAGCCTGGGCAAGTGGACCCATACATGGGACTCAAACACAAGCCCAGCTCCACAGAGCCTCAAGAAAAGAGGTTGGCAAAGAAAGGCTGCACTGCAGCTTGTGTGACCTCATCCTCTGCATCTCACCCGCTGCAAAGTCTGTCCATCCCCGCTGCAGAAGGCTCCTTGTTCTGTGCCTTCCCTGTACTGTCAGCAGTGCCATGGAGCTGGGAATGCTGCTGTGGATGCTGCTGGGTGAGCTGTGGTTTGGTGTCAGCACCTTCACTCAGTGGCCTTCAGCAAAGGACTGTCGGGGAAAGGCAATGCTTTTGCTGAGTGAGAACTCACTCCTATTGCCATCCTAGAGAGGTGTCACTCTGGCACGTGACAGAGGTTTGGGATTTTTTGTACCAAAAAAAAGTAGAGTCTGTCCATCTGGTTGTGATGGGAATTAATACAAACTTGCTAAATTAAAATCAGTTAAACTGTGAAATATTGTCAGCCAGCTGTGGGGAGCAGAATTAATTAGAGAAAGGAGATGTGATTTTAAGAGAAATGTACGAAGACATTCTGAAAAGAGGGGAATCAATAACTTCCCTCCTTGGTGTTGAGAAAGCTGGTGGGAATCAGGGGGTGTTTTTTGTTGGTACAAACAGGAAATCTCAAGGTCATTTGGTGGGTCACAGCTAATTCACTTCATCCACTCTGTTATTCCCAGACCAGTTTTACGCTGAGCAATTCCTTATCGACCATGTCTCCCTTTCTACTTGGTTGTACCTCCCACAGCATCTTCCAGGGCGAGAAGGGGTGTGAGCTGGGAAAGGGTGGTGTTTAACCTGCATCCTTCTCCTGCACTTCCTAACGGAGGGTTTTGTGCTGCCTCCCCTTCCCAGCCTGCCCTCCCGGATGGTACGGGGCCAGCTGCCTCCAGCGCTGCGTCTGCCACGGCCAGGCCACGTGTGACAGGGTGACAGGAGAGTGCCAGTGTCCCCAGGGCTGGACAGGGACAGCCTGTGAGCTGGGTGAGTCTCATCTCCCATCCCTCCAGCGCCTCCGTTGCTCTGCTGGGAAATTCAGTTGTGGTGGATTCTGTTTTGAGACAACATGGGAAAAAAAAAAGAGGAGGCAGAGGGATGGAGAGCACTAGGTATGGAGAGGCTGAAAAAATTGGGGTTATTTAGTCAGAGATGAGAAGACTGAAGGGAGACATGATTTTGGCACTTGAATGTACAGTGGTGCTAGAAACTTGTTCAATAGACGAGAAAAACGGACAGGGAAAATAGGTAATGACCTTCATTTGAGGAGAAAAAAGTATTAAATCCTCCAAGAGGAAAATTACTTATTTCTAAGGAATTTTTTTAAGGGAGACTTCAAAATCTCTGTCACTGAAGGCTTTTAAGACCAGTTTAGGTGGCTCACTGTCTTGCAGAGGCATAAGTTTGTTCCTCCTGGAGCTCCCCTAGCCTGGCCCTCTGTCAATCTCCCCCATCTCATTTCAGAGTGTGGGGATGGGCAACATGGAGAGGGCTGTGAGCAGAACTGCAGCTGCCACCACGGGGTGTGTGACCAGCCCTTGGGGAAATGCATCTGTCGTGCCGGCTGGACTGGGGACCACTGCGATGTTGGTAAGGGAACTCCTTCTACAGATGCTTGATTTTAAAAAGCAACCATTTCTGCCTCCACAGTATGAAGTTCCTTTCTCTGCTTTAGATATAAGGAAGAACACATAGAAGGAAGTTAAAAAATGTGAGGACAATTTACCAGATCAACCACCTACTGCTGAGTCTCTGTGGGTCGTGGAGGGGAGCTCAGCAAAATAGATCGTGATGGTTCAGGTTTACAGATCTTGCATTTGACAAAGATCCAGATCCAGATTTGACAAAGCCCTTTGGCATGTTTAGAGCCACCTGAATCCCTGAAAGAGGGATGAAATCTGATGTGCAGTAGATACCAGGTGACTTGAAATGTGCTTCCAGCTTGGTCACTGAGGTGCTGTGGTTTTTGCAAGACATGAGCAGTTTTCTGACATCTCTAGTGCTGAGGACTCTCAAAGCCCTGGCCAACAGCATGGCCTTTAAAGCCTTGGCAGTTGCCACCTTTCCTTTCTGCAGGCCTCACCTTCTCTTTGATTCTTTGCACTGGGAGGTGGAAGCAGTATGTGGACAGAGCATGTTTTCTCTCTTCAGCTTTCTTTGTGCACAGTTGTGACAAATCAAATGGCATCACCATCTCTGTACCTGGATTAATACTCCAGACTATGACTAAGGTTTTGTAAGCTTTCCCGTGTGGACTCACTAACAGCCAGCACTAAATGCTTTTGAAATTTTTTAATATCTTCTCTTTCACTGATATTTTCCGGCCATGCCCTCTGCTAAATATACATCACCACGGGCAAGGATGATATTGGCTGATTACTACCAGTGGTGGGTGCTGTCCATGCAGCAGGTAGAGCTGGTGCTCTCTCTCCTCCCCCCCAGCCTGCCCCCCGGGGTTTTTCGGGAAGCGGTGCGAGGAGCGGTGTGACTGCGTGCACGGCTTGTCCTGCCACCACCAAACCGGAGCGTGTCACTGCCAGAAGGGATGGCGAGGGAGGCACTGCGACAAACGTGAGTGAAGGAAGGCAGTTCAGGTTGGTGCGCATGTTCCTCCCAAATCCAGGGCTGGTGGAGGGGTATTTTCCCTCCCACCTTGTTCCACGGGGTCGGTCTGGAGGCGCTCACGTGGGCGGGGGCAGCGGGTCCACTCGAGCGGGGTGGCTTTGTCCCGTGCTGCCCTGTGCCCTGAGGAGGGTTGGTGTCACCCTTTGCAGCGTGTTTGCCCGGCCGGTTTGGCACGGGCTGTGCCCAGCGGTGCCGCTGTCCCCCTGGCAGTCCCTGCCACCACCTGACGGGCGCCTGCGGTTGTCCCCCTGGATTCACCGGCCACGGCTGCGAGAAAAGTAAGTTGGTTCTTGTAAAAATGCAAAGGCTTCCCGGGGAAATTGATTAAGAAATTAATTTCTTCGGTGCAGCCCTGATGATATAATGCCTGAAGAGGGAGGAGACAACAGCCTGATGGCAGGGAGGATGGCCAAGGGCTGCTTGTCCCTCACCTGGCTCTGAGCTCTGTGCCAGGCACAATTTTGGCTGATGGGGTTTGCCCTCTCTGGGTTTGCAGCTCTTGGAGCAGGTGAGGACTAAACTCGACCCAAATAGGCTGAGGAGGTGCTGGTGGAGCCCAGCTCCTGCCTGCAGCCATAGCTGTGCTGTCAGTAAAGCAGCAGCTCAGGTTTCTGTTGTCCCCATGAGAGACCGTCTGTTCCTGCTCTCAGAGCTCATGGAAAGGGCGTTATCTGGTTTTTCTTCAGCATGGAGTTTTTCCTCCAGAGCTGTCTTTGGAAGCAGGCTCCTGCTCTGACCCCAGCTGCAGCACCCTGACTTTGTTCCTTCTTACAAAGCTTTGCCCAAGCCCTGCTTCAGCAAAAGGAAAAACAGCAATAAATAAGAATTGAAAGAATTGACATCAGTATCCTGTATCCTCCCCTAAAGGACTCTAAATCCTGACCCATAGCCAGGGCAACTTAATGGAAGTCAGAGCTAAGAATTACATGTGGAAGGTCCAAACCTGTAGGCAATGTGGCTGTCAACAGGCAGAACGAAACCTCTGGAGATGTTGATGCCGCAGCCGCTTTGCAAGTTTAAACTCTCCGCAAAAGGTAGAATGTCTTTATCCACATGGCCTTGTCCCTTGGGAATTATACTGTTATTTTAGTCAATTTTGCCTGACATTTCCCTATGATTTTTTTTCTGGTGACAAGAAAATTGTATCTGGCCCTTGACAGTTGGGCACAAATTGACTGAACAAAACAAAATCAAGCAGTCAAGTAACCCCCAAGTAAATGTAATAAATCCAAAGTCCCGGAGGAGAGCGTCGTTCCATAGGCAGGGATTTTATTTAATAAATTTGAGCTCGCTCTTTGTTTGAGTGCTATATTTACCAAGACAAATTTAATTTACTGGTTTACGTTTCTTCTTCCCAAAGCTTGTCCACCGGGCACGTATGGGAGGAACTGTGACGGAGTGTGTGAGTGCTCTGCCGAGAACCAGGAATGTCACCCTGTGACTGGAGAATGCTCCTGCACCCCGGGGTACCACGGGGCCCACTGCCACCTCCGTGAGTATCTTTGGGGGCTGCTGCCTTTTGGAGAGAGGACTGAGTCATGTAGGGAGCATGTGCTGGTGCTTTTGAGTTCCCCTGTTCAGTACCTTCAGCGCTGACTGAGAGAAATAGAGGGGTTTATGTATATCTGTATATAAAAGTAAATTTTAATGTAAGGAGTTAGAGTATAAGAAGTAAGCATATTAATTTACAATAGTAAAAGTGTCTGTATTATTGCAAGGGATTAATTTTGAAATATGTATTTTAAAAATTTTAATTGAAAAATGAAATTAATTCAATATTTAAATTAACATTTTAAACTCCCAGATATATTAGGTAAATTCTTTCCAGTTTCATGCCACACTAAAGAATATAAATATATTCTCTGCATTTAGACACTCCCACCTTTAGCTACACCTGGATACTGAGTAGCTCTTTCATTTCCAAATGCCAAGTCCAAAACACTTCCCGAAATCTCTGCGTGCTCAAGTAAGGACAAATGGTTATGAGAAAACAACAAGCTGCAATTGGCAATAAATCTGAGTGATTCATAAAGTCCCTTCAGTTGCAGGGCCTTCTGAGGAACAATCAAATTAAACCAACTGTTACTCTGGATTGAAAAATGGTGACTAGTGTAGAGGACAAAATGCCAACTGGCCCAACGCTCCATCATAAAAAATATTCCCAGATCCACATAACTCATGCTGATATTTTAGGACATCTGTAAAGTTGTTTCTGGTGGAATGTGGCGGCTGATGAGAAACACATACCAAAGTAGCCAATAAAGGAGACAGTTAATTACCTTTTTATTTACAACTTTAATTTTGTTTTTACTCCATGGCTTGTAATAGTCTCATTTTGAGAGGAAAAAAAAAAAGAGGGGGGAAAAAAAAACTGTTGTCTTTCGAGCTCAGCCTTTCTCTCTTTGGCAAGCTCTGATTTTCCTTTTCTTAGGAATCTGGCGTGGCCCTGGTTTAATTGTCTTTTTTGGGTGACAGTTTGTATACAAAAGCCAGCTGTAACATGTGCAGCTCTAGTAAGGGTTAAACTTAGAAGTAGGAAAGAAGTTCATTTTAGACATTGGCTTTTGTAGTACCATCATGTCATCGCAAGCTATTCTTTCAAATATAAATTATTAATAAAATAGAAAGGATTGATTCAATCTCCCTTTGTACATCAGTTTTTGCTGTAAGTGAGATCGAAGTCTGGCCTTCAGCGCTGAGGCTGGAGCCATCTGGATCCATTATACATTAGATTAGAATAAATGTTATAGTAGAGCAGTAGTGGAGATCAACTATTTAACAGTATTGTTTTAAAAGATTTAATCATGGTCTGCCTATTACTTTTATGTAGCAATCCCTCAGGACTCTCTGTTTGTGTAGCACTAAATCTAAGTTATAAATTATGGTAAATGTCTTCGAACTTGCTTTAGTCCTTAAGATTTCATTTCAGAATTTTAAAATTAAAAACATTAACAATGACACTGAAGTTCTGATATAAAAGATATAAAAAGATTCATTGCAAAATGAAATCCGCGTTTTGCTGCATTCAGAGGGAATTTTGCCTTGGATTTCTATGTAGCTGGGATTAAACCTACTGAGTATGAGACAAGAGACTTCGTGGTGTTGCGCTCTCTGAGATTCCAAAATTCCACAGTGCCTTGCACAGCAAATTCTCACTTAAATACAGGCTTGTTAAACGTTTACTGGAGAAATAATGGAATGGTGGAGGTTCATAAAGAGAGAACTTCCTATTCTCCCCTGTACACCTCTGAGCATTGCATAGACAGACACGAAAATGGAAGGAAAACAGTTAATTGTGAGTTATTTTTAGGTTGTGGTCAGTGCAGGGAGAGATTGTGGGCCTGATTCTAAAGCGACTGACTGAAAACCAAGGATAGCTAGCGTGACTTTGGTGGGAATACTCGATGTTCCCGCTGTCCTCACTACAGGGAGAACTGGGGCTGCTCCAGGATGAAGAAGCTTTCAATAGAATATTAAAACCAGTACAGGGAGCCGCTCCCAAACAAGTGAAATGGGCTTCAGTCCAGTCAACATGTGGTTGGATGCTGCTGGAAACAGTTTCTGGCAACTGTTGCTATATTTATAGTACTTTGAAAAAAAGGTTGAAGAAAGTATCTATAAAAGGTGTAGTTGGCTGGGAAAGTCAAATTTCCAGGAGCCAAGAGCAACGAGGCTTTCATGTTCTCGAATTTTGGAGTGAAGAGCTGAAACAGTCTCTTGGCAGGATTCAGAGGAAGCAGACAAATTAGCAATAAGGTTCCCATCACTTGTCCATAACTTGGTGAATGGGAATATCTACTTGGGTGAAATGAGTAAAAAGCAGTAAGTGGTGACGTTGACTGGGCTGGAGACACCCAGAGCCAGAAAGATCTCACCAGCTTCACCTCCAGGCTGTAGGTAACAGGATGTGTCAGAAGGGATTGTTTGACAATGCAGTTAAAAACACTGGTCAGAAAAGCCTCAGAGTCTGCAACTGGTATGAAAAGATTTGGGAGCTCTTGGTCATGGCAAACTGGCTGAAACCAGAAGGAAAAAAATTGGGAAGCGAGGTGGAAATCTGGCTGCCACTCTTTTGTTAGCAGAAAAACATGAGTCAGAAGCACAGGAAACTGTTAAATTTGAAAACATCTCTATGAGATAAAGAAGTAAAGACACGTGGCAGTGAGAGAATAACCCTCTTTAGAAAGGCAGAACCTACTGAAATGGTAGAACACAGTGGAAATTGCCCCTGCTGTCTGCACTGAAATAATTCTGCAAAGTAGTAACAGATGAGGTGGCCTTGTTAATAAATATGTGCACGTTGCAGTGGCTGAGCTTGACCTGCTTGTGCTGCCCCTTCTTGAACTGAAATACAGATGATGCTGCAAGAGTAAATAAATTGGTAAGGGTTGATAGGGGGAGGGGGAGGAATTACTGCTTTCCTTTCGGTGATGGAGCATCTATCACTGGTCTGGAGCTGAGGAACAACTCTAGAAGCTTTGCCAAGGAGAAGCAACATGTTTGGGAGTGTGGGAAACAAAATTAAAGAAAAAGAGAAAAGCCAAATGATGACCAAAAGGAAACAGAAAAGGAGAAGAGTAGAGTCCAATTAAATCATTGAATCTGGGTGTACTCTTAACTTCATGTTTTGTGGGAATGAATTAGATGTTGCAGGGCTTACCCCTCGATGCCAGGGTTTGCACATGAATTTGTGTGCTGACAGATGGAAACACTGATGACAGAGTATTCACTGAGAAGAGTTCATGGTTGAGAAGGGCTGGGGAGAGTATCTGTATGTTGTAAAAGTGTATATCTGTTTAGTCCTGATGATCTGCTATCCTGGTTTGAGCAGAAGCCAATGTTCAGTTTTAAGAGGCACCCCTTCAAAGCTTCCCCGTAAGCTCTCCCTTGCTATTGAATAGTTCAGAAAATCCAGAAATTTCTCCAGCCAGTCAGGCCATGTTTTTGTGCCTTCAGGAAAGAGAAAATACATTAAGCTATTTATGCACAGATTGCAAGGGATCTGTTGCTTGGAAACGTGTGTGAATATACATTCAACCAGATTTCCAAAGTAGCCATAGACTTTCCTTTTGCCGGGGAAGAGAAGGAAGGAGCAAGAAAAGAAACGACATTTAGAGGCAGCAGCACTAGTGGAACTGTTTGATGATGATCATGCTGCTCTTAAAGTACCAGGTACTCCCTCTTCCAGCACCCTGGAGAATTAGGAGAATAACCTGCGTCTCTGGAATTCACTGGTGGCATGCTGGAGGTTCAGTGGTGACAGACAGAGGCATGTGCTCAGCAGCTCTGCCCAGCACTGTCTCTCAGTTCCAACCTTCATTGCTCTATCTGTATCTTGAAGACATAAGCTAAGCATGGCAGATGCATTCACATCTCCCCAATCTTTTGTTCACTGCTCCTTCAATGTTAGCTGTCCAGAAAGAAACCAGAAATAGTCACTACCCCTTGGAAAACCTCTTCATGGAGAGCTTGTTGCCACATAACGCTGGTTCAACAATCCATCCAGGTCCAATTGTTTTTATGAAATACAGCTGCTTTGGTTTTTTCCTCAGGGAATTTTCTGACTTTGCATTTAAACCATCTTTCTCCTGTGTTTGTCTCCTGAGAAGGTCTCTTCTGAAATTCCATGAACAGGTTCCACCTACAGCAGGTTGCTTAGAGCCCCATCCAACCTGTGCTTGAACGCTTCCAGGGATGGAGAATCCCCAACTTCTCTGGGCAACCACTTACAATGCCAGCTCCATTTTGCAGGGAATCAGTAGATAATAGAGGGAACAAACTTTCTCCAACTTCCACAGTTTTAAAAGACATGACCTGCCCCAGCATCCATAAAATGGCTTCTAAAAGACACGGAGATGGCTCACGGCTTCTCACCATCTCAGGCAAACCAGGCTGCTGCTGCTCAAAGGAAGAGGAAGCAGGGCCCCATCTTTCCTTCTCTGTAGGAGGGAAAGAGGGAACAGGTTTATTTGGAACAGAAATCCCAAGAGGAAAACCTCTCCAGAACTGGGCTTGCTTGTCCTTCTACAGTTCTCCTATGAGGAATGGAAGGAGCACAGAGCCAGGAGCAGTCGGACCAGGCAGCACTTGGTCCAGCTCTCCAGGCGTTTGACATTCTAAAAGTCAGTGCTGCCTCAAGGACCATGCTGCCCAAGGCAGGCATCTGCTCACCAATGCCTGCTCCTGGTCCTCTAGAAGTGACTTGAGTTAGAAAACAAAAATCTAATTTCGGTTGAAAGCAAATAGTTTTCATGGCTTGAAAAGCAACAGGCCCAGTAGTAACGTAGCCTAACTGCTAGGTTTTGGTTTTTTGTTTTAAAACAGGGTGTCCAAAAGGTACTTATGGATCAAACTGCCAAAATTCCTGTAAATGCATGAATGGAGGCCACTGCGACCCTGTGTCAGGAACGTGTGACTGCGCGCCCGGTTTCATTGGAGCCGACTGCAGTAAAGGTAAGCCAACATTCATGTCCTGCCTCTGTCAAAACACAGCACAGAGAATAATTTGCATAAGAGTTTGTCAGTAGAAAAACAGACAGATCCCAGCGACCTCTTCCTTGAATTGTAAATCAGGATTCCAGCTTTGTAAAAAAATCTCTTGCAAAATATTTTCCCTCTCTTCTGCGCACGTAGGAGCGAGGACACCCATCCCAGGATTACAACCTGCTTGCCCAAATTTATTTCTAGAGCCAGCTCAGCATGAGTTGCTCCAGTTCCTTCTCCCTGTCCAAAATTTCGAGGTTGAGAAATTATCTCAATATTTTGCTTCACACTATGGTGCCATTAGTTTCAATAAATGGGAAAAAGATCAAGTTTTGTCATGGCAAAGACTGGTAGAGACTCCACGGCAACTTTACTGTTACTTCTGTGTTTCAGAGCTAAATGATGTGGCTGAATTTCTGTGCTGTTTCCAAAGCTCTGATCTCTGTGGAGTTCTCTTCAACCTATTCACAGAAAGGCAATGTTTGAATGTTTAGGAGCCTGTAGCTTCTTCCTCTGGTATAGGACAGCATCAATATTAAAGAAGGAATGATGCTTTTTAGCTGGAAGGATGAGCAACTGATATTTCAGTTATACACTCACATTTTGGTAGGAAATCTTCTAAATACTCCGTGTGAAACCCCAGATTATATTTATAACCTCAGGTAAAGTCTCGGAGGATGAAGCAGTCATGCCTTTGGATGGGTTTTGGTTTCGTAGGTGTTGCTTTGAAGCACATTAGGTGGAATAAAAATGAAGCCAACTCTACCTATAAGATCCCTGCCTATGTTAAAGATGAAAATTGTTTAACAAAGGCCTGTGTTTCCTTCAGCTTGCCCCGAAAACCGATACGGGAAGGACTGCGCCCAGTTCTGTGCCTGTGGTAAAGGTCAGTGTGACCCACAGACTGGCAAGTGCTCCTGTCCCCCCGGCCAAATGGGACCTGGCTGTCAGCAAGGTAACAAAGCGGGACCCGAGGTCACCTCGTCAGTGGTGACACACTTAAAACACCCAGCAAACAAAACCCAGCACCAAACTTTGTTTGTAGCTGCCTTTCCCAACGCCTTTGCTCGATAGCGTCGCCGTTGGGTGTCCTCAGCTCTGCCCCTCTCTGCTCCATCACCCTGCCTTATCCTGCCCACATCTCCCCGCTTCGCTCTGCCACCCCCAGAGCCAGGGCACTGGGATCTCCACGGGGCTGAGGAGATATGGCAAGACAAAGTGTTTGGATAAAACTGAAAACAGTCGTGGAGTGGTGTCCTGCCACCCTCAGGAGACAAATTATTGGGGTATTCTGTGGGGAGCATGTGTTTGTATTTATTCCCTGTCACCTTCTTCCTTTGTTTTGTTGTTGTTGTTTTGGGGTTTTTTTTGTTTTGTTTTTTGGGGTTTTTTTTGTTTGTTTTGGTTTTGGGGTTTTTTTGGTATGCTAATTTATTTTTCTTTACAAACTTTGTTAATTCTCTGTAGTGTGTCCCCAGGGACAATATGGCCCCAGCTGCCACCTGACATGTACCTGTCAGAATGGTGGCATCTGTGACCACGTGGATGGCAACTGCACCTGCGGGCTGGGCTGGACAGGAAGATCCTGTGAGAAAGGTGATTTTCTGCTTTGATGCCAGGGGACTTGTACATTCAAGCAGAAGTTTGAAGTGTCCCCAGACAGCCAGAAGAGGGGACAGACAGTTTTTGCTAAAGTAGATTGCATCACTGCTGCATTCCCCTCTGTAGCTTCTCTCGTGCAGAACTACCCCTAGATAGAGCTTCAGGTCTTTTCTCAGAGACAGTTTCCTTGTGTGTTATGCTTGTAACTCTCATAAATTCCTTTGCAGGGACTCTTATTTCTTCTGCTGTCCAACTTTTGTATTCCTTTGTTTATGGGACTATTGTTTTGTGTCTTCTTTCATGCGCTGCTCCTCAGTCAGCAGAAGCCTATGTCTCCCTCCTCTCTTGTTGTGTTGTTCTCTTCCATTTGACACTGGATTGCAGTTCAACATCCCATGTATTGACTTCACAGATGTTCTGACAACTTCTGTCCAAAGCAGTTGAGCTTGTCCTGCCATCTCTCACCTTTGCTTCTCCATGACAGCTCTCCCTTACACAAAGCAAAGCACACTAACAGAATAAGCTCAGTTTTCACTTCAGAAACCCTCCTGCCAGCCCAGAGTAGACTCTTCCCCCATCTGTCCTTCTACCTGTCTCCCCAAAACATTCTCCATTTCTACCTTCCCATGTTTCTCTGTAGATGAGATATTTCCAGACTTCAGTGTTCAGGAAACTTTGAGTTCTGAGTTCACATTCATGACAATGTCATCCTTAGAACATAACTGCCATGGTTCAAGCCCCCCAGCATGCTCTTAGGAACTTATTTACAGCCTTTCTGTCCCTGACACCTGCAGAATGTCCACCTCAAACTCCATAAGTATCTTTACCAAGAGCTGGACTTTACAGGGCAGCGTCCCTATATAAAAGTATTATATAGAAATGACACTTTTTAGCAGCATTCTGAGATATAATACTTTCACTTTGCACTTGAGAAGACCCAGAAGCCCAATTCATGCATGTGTGTGTGTGCAGAGAATAAGCAGGGAGAAAAGGAAAGATGCTACATGGAGGTACTCACAGTGAGTATTCAGTGGACAGTGAACGATCACCCTGGACAGGCACTAAAAAATTTGCAGTTAACCAGTAAGTGACCGACCTGTCATTTCCCAGACCAATTGTGCTCCTCTGTCTGTCCCTGTGAATCCCTGTAAGTCACCCACAGGCTGCATTGGGGTCGCCAAGCCTCAGCAGGGTGATGCAGGTGTCGCCACATGGAGTCGTGGCTCGTGGGTGTATCTTACAGATAAAAAAACATCTCTGGAGTGGAGCGTGGGGGGCAGACATGCACAGGTTGTATAAGGGACTGTGTGTTGTATCACTAGAAAGAGCTTCGCTGTTTATCTTCTGACAGTGAGAGTGAAATTATTGGAAAATCGAGTCTTGATCTCCACAGCAGTGTGGGTTTGAGCGTGTTTTGACTGGAAATCAAAGACAGCTAATCAGGCATCCTTTTAATAGTGATTAGATGTGATGCTCTTGAAAGATCTTGTCTGGCATTTGGGGAGTTCTGAATCTGATTACTTGGACGGCCACGCTCGCTTAAGTTCGTCTGCCCGGATTCAAATTATCACAGCAGTGGGAAGTTAACTTATTCAGAGATGATGCTGGGGTTAATTATATTGGCACAGTCCCTTTTGCACGGCTTGGCTTTCAGTAATTTGAGATGTGTTTGGTACTGTGAAAGCAGATATCTCATTATACATGGAAAGGCTGTTGCTATGTGTGAAAAAGATTCTCCTGGTTTTATTAGAAACTGGAACAGTGTGAACTCCAACGATAACACAGAGGAGGAAAAGCTTCATGTTTACTTTCACACTTTCTAAGTGCCTAAAAGAAAATATTGCTATAGATAAAAAAAGAAAAAAGAAGATAACATTTATACCATTCACTACACAGCTTTACAGCCCTTGGTGTGGGTTCAACATCTGGTATGTGAAGAGACAAACTAAAAGAGGCAGACTATTAAAAGTACGAGGAAATTATCGTTCAAACATTTCTATAATATAAATGATTTTTAATCAAAGTATGTAAAGGCATCACAGTTGGGCAGAAGTTCTGTGCCTTCATAACATAAATTCTTGAGTCTGCAAGTTATCCTCTGGGCATCACCTCTCAGCAATACATTTTTGGGGTGAGGTCAGTGATTGTTTTTTTGTCTGTTTGTCTGCTTTTCTGTCCGTGTCCTGCCAGCAGAATGTCTTCCGGGGAAGTACGGCTCTGGCTGCACCTTGGACTGCTCGTGCCAGCACAACGGCACCTGTGACAGGTTCACAGGGTGCTGCCAGTGCCCCCAGGGCTACTATGGGCACTCCTGCCAGCACAGTAAGTGGGGCACTCGGGGTAGTTGTGGTGGGAGGTGGGGCTTTGGAGTAGTTGAGAAACACCCTGCTGGTTTAGTAAAAATTTTGGGGGTATCCCAGATCGCCTGGCTGCCTCCAGATCTTGCATGTCTCTGGTGCTGGGTGGCACAATCTTGAAATCACGTGGCATTATTAGAGTTAAGGGTAACTATCACTTTTGTTGGCTCCCAGGGAACGTGGCTGAGAATACAAAGGATTTTAACGGGGTGTATGATTTTATTCATCAACCTTCCTGGCTTTGATTTTTTCAGGGTGTCCCCTTGGATTTTATGGGCTGGGCTGTCTTCGCACCTGTGCCTGTAAAAATGGAGCGAGCTGTGATGCAGTGACAGGACAGTGCATTTGTCCTTTGGGGTATCACGGTGTCCACTGTGAAAAAGGTACTGGTACCCCTCTGATGTGAGAGAAAAAAAACGAACAAAAAACCAAAGCCGAAACAGACCTCAAAAAGCCTCATGTAATTACTCAAATATTTGTTTGTTAAGAGCAACTTCTTCCATATTTTCTTTGTGTATATCCTGAAACATTGAAATTGGGAAAGATTTCCTGTTATACAGCTGGGTGTTCTTATTCCCTTAGAAATTAACTAATCTGGTTCCGATTAATACAGTGAAAGTCCTGGTCTCCATGATGTCTTGGAGCAATGAGTTCCACATGTCATTTATTAAAAATAAGTCCCTTTTACTGATTCTAAATTTGCTTCTAAAGCTCCAAATAAGATTATTAAATAGGTGCATGTCAGACCTGCTGAGTGTTATGGAATAGTCTTCTAGAGAGTCCTAATTAAAAATGAAAATAAGTGCCAGTTACATTTCTGGGACAGATTTACAGATACCTTTGATAGGTTAGGTTAGACAAACCCAACGTAAGGAGAGCTCATACAAATATTATGCAATTCCACTGCCTTCAATTCTTCATTAAACCTGGCATTTACACTGGCTTCAGCAGAGAGTTTATGAGCTTTCCTGTGAGACATCCTGGGAAAACCCCTCTGGCTTTAACATACATCTTGCCATTCAAATGTGCATCTAAAACCTTCTCTTGGTGTCAGCCTGTGACAGGGGTTGGTTTGGTGAGAGGTGCCAGCATCGATGTGACTGCGGAGATGCTCCTTGTGATCCAGAGACTGGGAAGTGCCTTTGCCCCCCTGGGAAGACTGGAGACAAATGTGACATTGGTAAGAGCAGTGTTTTGAAGGGCTGGACTGTGAACAGTTAAACCACTGTGACCTACTGGTTTAAGAATAACTGCAAAAGGACATTTGCTGGTGTTCAAGACCACATTGTTTGTAGCAAATTGCTCTTACGGGTTATCAACACCTTTATCAGCAGGGCTGTACCTAGTGATTTAATCAATATTTAAATTGATACGCTGATAGGAAAAATGTTTATGGGTCAGCTGTAAAATGTCACTTACCTGGAGCTTCGGACTTTTGGGCTGGGGAAAAATGGACCAAGAAGTTTTGCAAATGTAGTGGTGAAGACTTAAGGAAGATACAGATGGGCATCAAGGGCTCCAATTTCTGTGTGTTTTGTCACATGAACATTTGTGACCCTTTTCAGACTAATGCAAAAGTATGACCAGCTCAGGGTTTGCTTTCCCTGGAAGTAGGGCAGAATCCCTATGGGTAAGGGATATCTAAGCAGCAGCTGTGCTTAGCTCAAGGCCAGGTTGGACGGGACTTGGAGCAACCTGGTTTGGTGGAAGGTGTCCCTGCCCATGGCAGGGGGCTGGGGCTGGAACCAGATGAGCTTTAAGGTCCCTTCCAACCTAAACCTTCCTGTGATTCTATGATTACGATGGAGTAGATTTAGGATAACACCAGAGTAAAAGGAATTGGAGTGGTTTAATTGAGTGTAAGAGATTTGTGATCTGGATGCTGTGGCAAACAAGATGAAAGAAGGGAACATCCATGTGCTACTGTGGAGCTTCATACCAGGAACCATAATCCTCCAGCGCCCCTGAAACAGTGGGGGAATATTATTTCTCCTCTTGTCCTAGGATAGGGCAGGAAACAGCTTTGAACAGGCAATTAATAATATAAAGTAATTGCTGAAAGCTTAAGCCCTAGTGCAACCTGCAGAAATAAAGTGGAAAATTATTTGTTTTGACCACTGTCACTGTGGTCAGAGAAGGAAGTCGCCCAGTCTGCAGTGCTGCTCCAGTGGGGAATATCAGGCACACAGCACTGGGCATCCACAGGCCTTTCCAAGGAAATTTTAGGCAGAACTGAAACGCAAGGGGGAAGCTCAGCACCAAAAATGGGAACTGAGGTTTTGCTTCTTGCAAACTCTGCGAGTCACTTTTATTTTTCTCAAATCAGCTAGGGTAGCCCCCATCCATGAAAAGCTGTTATGGGGTAGGTTTTATTTGCATTTTTATTTTCAATTAGGCTCAGTTCATCTGTGATATAACTGCGAGCAGCTGTGACTGTGCAGCAGCCATAAAGATAAAAGGCCTGATTTTAATTTGAACTCTGGTAAAGCACCCATTAAACAGGCAAAATGTTAATTAAAAAAAAAAAAAAAGAGAGAGAGAGAATATAACAGAATTTTATGGGCGTTCTTTTTCTGTAGTAAATTAACATTGCAGACTTTCAAACAGATGTCTTAAATACACATTGTTATTAACATGAAAATGTGGTATTACATAAATTAAAATCAGGTCCAGAGGTGTTTGAGGAGACCTTTTCTCATAACGTTTCCTAATTGAAAAGGCCAAGCTCAGAGCACACAGGGTGAGTTCTCCCACGTGCTGGGGCTGCAGCTGATGGGGGGCTCAGCAGAGCTTTATTTACCCAGGGGTGCTCGTGGGAGAAAGGCAAGGCCCTGGGTGCTCACAGGGTTTCCCAGCCAGGAGAGAGAGACAGGGCTATTGTTTGCAGAGTACTTCACACCCTGCCCTGTGACCTGCTGCTCACTTTCCCTTCACGCCTGTACCTCTGATGCATAAAAAACTGTGATGAGGATTTACCAGCCTAGGTATGAAACAGATTTGTGTTTGGAAGTGTGATTTTTTTTTTTTTTTTTTTGTGAGTTTGGTTTGCCAGGAGGCAGCAGAATTGTGCAACCGGAGCAAGACATAGGAGTGTATATAAAATGCATTAATTTTCAATTCCACATTCTGTGAGTGAAGGCTCTTGGCCGGCACCCACTGACAGCCAAGCCGTGCAGGAAGGAGAGGGGCAGGAGATAGTGTGGATCCAGGATGCTGACAGTAACTTTCCTGAGCAGATCCCAAGATGTTTTCTGTTGGGCTGTCAACCCCTGTTTTTACACCAGTAATGATTTCCATTCTGGGAACTTCTTCAGGACAGCTGGGCTGCAGTTTGGGCAGACCATGTGGCAGACGAAACTCAAAGGCTGCGGTGCTTTCCAAAATGTCATGTTTTAATGTTAACAGATGCAGGTGTCTAAGTAGCTTCCTGATTCCAGAGAACAGGGAGACTGCTAGGAAGTGTTCCACCTCTTCCAAATACTCCTGTCCTTCCAGGATGCAGGTCAGACCGGTATGGCCCCAACTGCTCCCTGCGGTGCCAGTGTGCCAGCAAATCCCAGTGCAATCCATACAACGGGAACTGCGCCTGCCCAGCCACCTGGATGGGGCCAACCTGCAGAGAAGGTAACACGGGCTGGCAGCGTGCAGCCTAAATCATTGGTTGCCCATGGTGGTGGTCAGTGTTTGGACAGGAGTATCAATTATTTAGACATCTCTTCTTAATGAGGTACAGCATTGAGGGGAAGTTTCTTCTCAGTTCCTCCTTCCTTTAGGAAACACATTTGGGAACCTCCCATCTGAGAGGTGCTTTTGCCTGCTCTCTGCCTCTGTGAGGAGGACGATGTAACTGTCCCCTACCTGCTTTTCAAGGCTACCATATATTGAATTGTTTAAGTGTAAATGGTATAATCTATATACTATTTGGGTATTATGTTATATAGACCTGAAATCGTGTTTCTACTTAATTCTCTAGGTGGCCCTGCAAAGCTTCCTTTTTATGAAGAACAGAGTCAAGAAAGAGGGAGTATTTTTCCAAGAGCTCTACAACAGTAACATTTGGACTAATAAACGAACTGTTTTATATGCACAGACGGTATTTGAATTTGGATATGAAAACAGTTATTCAATTCAGCTTGAATTGTGCTGAAGTATTCACACTTCTTATGGAAGACTACAGAGGGCATTTAGTAGCTGGATCCTTTTAAAAAGTTGAATCTGTTTCATGTACTTGTTTCTAGCCTCTTGCCCCTCCATTAATCTACTCTGGACATTCTTCCTGATATTAATATAATTTATCACTTGAAAGCTCGGACATGTTTTTAATCAGACCAGCTCCAAAGAGTATCAGGACAAGCAGCGTGGAACACATCAACATTCAGTGAGCCACACCACGTATCAGGGACCTTCTAAACCCTCCTGACAACCAGCACCACGTTTAATGAGTGTTTCACAGATTATGAAGCTGGTACAGACCCACTGCAAAATCACACTGCACAGAAACTAGTGGGATTCACCAAACTGACTCCTCTTTGAATAACACTGTGTGTTCCAGAGAAACATGCAGTCTAATTTTAAGCTTGCAGCTGAAGAAGAATCCACCACAGTCTCCAAGAAGTTCTTAATTAATTTAGGAGCATCTACTGCATTTCTAGTGTGGGATTGACTGATTGGAAGGTCTCCGTCTGTATCTTGCTTATGTCTGAATCCATCTTCCAAAGAGCGTGGTGTCACCTGTCAGACTCTCCTGGCTTTCTGCCTTCTCACATCGTGTCAGATGAGTTTCAGTGGTTTGTCAAGTCAAACTGTGCAGCAGATCTCCTCAAACAGTACCTGCTAAGGCAGAAGAGGTTTTGTTTTTGATGGAGAAAGCAGATAGTAAACAAGGATAGATGTTTAAAGATGATACCTCTGTGGGTTTTATGATTTTGCTGCACAATTTTTTTTTTTATTAGCTCAGCTTAAAACAGTCCTGATACCATTCAACAGCTGCTGGTGGTGACTTCATGGAACAAAGACGTTTTGGTGCTATTTTGTCTCTGTAGACAGATTGTTCTTTGATACAGGACTATGTTGTTATAAAGAATTTATGTTCTATATTTTAATATCCTGAGTTAACCAGACTAAAAGATTTCAGAGTGCCTTTTTATACCTCTTTAGGTTAGAAGCTACAAAGCTATGCAGTAACCACTCAAGCCTGACTCTATCAAAATTGCACTTAGGAAAGGGCATCAGGACTGTGGGCTCAGTAGACATGGAAATATGGGCAGTCCCAGATCTTGGTTTACACTCCATTCACCCACCATAACGAGCTGCAAGAGCAGATTTTTGTCTTAGAAGAGACAAAATTACAATAACTGATGGTAATTTGTGATTTTTTAAGACCTTTGTTGCTGTGCCTGCATAAGTGATGAGTTGGTGAAGTAGGATCCAGTTGGTTGGATGAATAGTTGAGGTAACAGTTTTACCCCACAGTTCACCTCAGGTCTGCAATGATTAACTGTCCAGGACAAAGCAAGTGGCACTTGCTCACCTGTGATCCAATTCAAACTGTGATCTCTTGGAAGCAATACTGGTTTGGAAGGTATTTTTTCAAGCTTCATGGAAGTCTTATTGTTGTTATTCGTCACTTCATAGGTACTGAAAGTAAAGATGTTTGTGAATGTGTCAAAATTAATTAACCTACTGTGCTTTCAGCCAGAAAATCAGTGTGGTTGATGCTGATCCTTTGTCATTTCTACTGCAGAGCTCTGTAAACGTTCATGGAAAGTTCATTCAGTGTAAATGTGACAAAAATCTTGCTCCAAAACTAGTCAGAAGCATGTGACTTTCAGTAGGCCTGTGACATTTTAAATGTTCTTTTGGAGATGTGAAGACCTGGGTCTGATCCTACAATTATGTGCATTTGGGGCAATTTCACTGTACTGGAACTGATAAGGTAAATGAGGCAATGAGATATAATCTTAGCAACTGCTGGAGAAGAAGAGTTCAAGTTGAGCAGTTGACATATTTTGATCTTAACTGTGTGTTTACTGCAGAGCCAAACTACAACAGTAATGCAAGTGTCTCATTGTACTCGAGATTTTGTGTGGAATCATCAGGAGAGTGAAGTTGTAGGAGATCTCTGAAGGTCCAGGTTCCCTTCAAAGCCTGGTCAACTTCAGAGTTAAATGGGATTGCTCAGAGATTCACCCAGCTGAGTTCTGAATATCTCCAAGGCTGGAGATCCCACCACCACTGTCCTAGTGAAGATTTCATGTTTGGGTTGGTTTTTTTTTATTATTTTTCCTGTTTTCCAATTTCCCAGGTTTCAGCTTTGGACCACTCCTTTCAATATGGATCTCTGAGAAGTGTTTGGCTTCATCTCCTCTACAGCCCCCATGGGGTAGTTGACTAAACAGTTGTGCCTTCTCTTCTGAAGGCTGAGCAGAGCCTGTTCCCCTCAACCCAACTGCACCAGCCCCTCTTACCTCGGTGACCCTCCACTGGTCCCATTCCAGGACATCCGACATTCCTTCAGGGATAGATACCCAGAGACTGATGTGGTTACTCAGCACCTGATGCGTAAAACCCTGACACTGCTGTCAAACAGCAAAAATGTATCAAATGTACTGTTTTTTTGTCTTATCTTTGTGTACTGGCACGTGACTCAAGCAGCTAATCCAAGGGGAAACTTCTCTCAAGCCATGTTATTTACACCTGTGTACACTTGTTTACATTTTCCACAGTACCTTGATAATAGCATTGTAAATATGTAGTATAAGGAAATAAAGGATTTTTGTATTAAGTGTTTTTAAAGAATGTCACAATTTTAGGTACATGATGAAACACATCTTTTAGGAGACGGATACTGAGCCTGTGCCAATGGATTAGAGGACCAGCTAGATCTGCTTGGGAAATATTTCAGTAAACCTTTTTTAAATCAAAACCTGCCAATTCATACAAAACCATTCATATGCAATAGTCTTTTTTATTCATTCTTCCATCAAAATACTTTTTAGCTTCTTTATGATATTGCCTTGGAGAAAGAAGTTCCCCTCAGTGCCATCAAACAGATCATTCTGATCTGGGGCTCAGTATGACTTTCTGTTCCAAAACAAAGTATAGTCATTTAAAGGTAAAAATCAGAATTTAAGATTAAAAAAAAAAACTAAAACATGAATTTTGATTGGGGTAGTTTGGAATGTCTTGTCTTGGTTCTCTATTTCCGAAGGTTTTCACTTTTTTCACAAGGGAGGGAAAATGTTTACAGAATTTTCTTTTCTAGAAGAGCCATGACTTTACATTATTAACTATTAATTAAGGAAGTTTACTTATTATGTCATTATTAGGTTTTGATTCTCCTTCCTACTACAGATTACTCATTTATCTAATTCTTTACCTACAAAGTAGACTTTATTAGACAGCATGGACTTTTTTAATGAAAAAACTACTAAATCAGCTCATCCATAGATTAATTTTCTGGCAAGTGATTGTAGCTACTACTAAACTAATATAACTCTGCTTATTTGCTTCATCAGGTTCCAGTGAAAGAGTGTCAGGGTGATACTGTCCTGACCATAGCACAGGGGCTTGTGGAAAATGAAAGCGAAAACTTCAGTGAAAATGGAGTTTGTAGTTAAATTGATGTCCATCTTCCACTTTGTGAAGGCCTTTCTTGGCTCCCCGTTTCCCAGGAGGCTGAAGTTAATTACTCTTTCTTGAAGAGTGTGCTCTGTGAATTCCTCTGCAACACACTTGCATGTGCAGATAACTCCTTTCAGAAAGACATTGGAATTATTTCAGCCATGCAGTTTCCGTGCCAAATCCCCCTCTCTTACCTTGTGTATTCCAGATAACTTCAGCTGGAGTGGAAATAAGTGGAGTGGAACTCAGTGGGTCCAGCAGAATCTTGCTCAATGCGAATGCGTGAAACCAGAACAACATGTTTCAAGTTAGACTTCACTAACACTATTCTCATAGGAAAACAATCAGAATTTTAAAAATTCCCCGCTTCCCCTGCCAAAGATTATTATTCTACTTTTATCCTTTTTATGTTGAAGAACCATGGCTATTAAAGTTTGCCCAGATTCCTTGCCAACCATATTATTTTGATTGGCTGCAGATTTCTGTTTGTGTAAGTAATAACCAGCATAGTGTCAGGAGTTGCCAACGGGACAAACATGGAAATAACACCTTTATGTCCTTCCCAGAAAAGGCAAAGACACATTTTGCAGCCCTTGTGGCTTCATACTGCAGATCAAACAGTGACTCTGTTAGAACTGAAGTTCTTATCGGAGCAAAGTAAGCTTAAGAATAATTTTTGAGAGAACTGGTAGACCAAGAAACCTCCATCCTCCCATCCTTGTGGTATTTTTGTTATATTTAGACTAGAAACCTTCTCACTCCCCAGTTCCTGAAGGACTTTTCCTGCAGGTTGACCTGTGGCTGACTGAGCAGCTCCAAGCATGAGCTGCAACTGTGCCCAGTAATTCTTTTGCAGGGTAAAAGTTTTAAATTCTGGTACTGTGTAAAGCAATTTTCCAGCAGTAAACACCAAATCTCTGACTTGTAGAGCATAAATTGTTCGTTCTGTTCTTTTTATTGCTTTTAATAAGCACTTGCATAGCAGTATGTTATGTCTTTGTGAATTTGTAACCCCTCTTCAAGGACTGTGTGGGATGTATCTCAGATCTGTACTGTACTTTCTGTTGTAGACATATCATAGTGAAGGGATGCTGATTTTTTTATATATAAACATGTCATTAAAACTTGTCCTTGTTTTTCCTTTATTGATAGCCTTGAAGCAACAGGTTTGTGTTGTGGGTGAAACTTTATTCTGTTGAACCCGTACTCTTGGGCACATGATGTGACTCTTGGGGGTCCTGTGCAGGGCCAGGAGCTGGACTCAGTGATCCTTGTGTGATCCCCTCCAGCTCAGCATATTCTGTGATTCTGTAATTTGTGTTTAGAGCAAACAGACTGAAATCACACCTGCTTTTAGTGGTTTGTGTAGAATAAAAAATGGCCTGTGCACAAACGGGTTCATGTGTGATCCCTGACCGCAGCAACCTGGCCAGTGACTGAGACTGATAAGTGGAGGTTTCTGGCACTCAGACTCCTGAGTATCAGAAATATTCAAAACACAGCATAAATCTTGCTGGAAGAGGATGGATGTGAAGTGCAACATTTCTGCAAGACTTGGGCACGAAGCACTTTGAAGGCATTTGAAGCCACACACCTGTGGGCTTCCATCAGCCTGCTTGGACACTTCCCAGAGCCTAATACTGCTGAACAAACAGCCTGGTTCACCTTCAGGGTATTGTCTTCTCACATTGGCAAGAGCTGAAGGAGCACATGTGCCTGTTTAATGCCAAATAATGCGGTAAGTGTGTGCTGGATAATTGGAAGTAGCGTGCTAAATTGAATTCAAAATGTGTAACAAAGGGGGGACGGTATATCAAGCTGTCAGAGCAAAAGTGGACAGCTATGGCTTGGTAGCTTCTGGGAGAGCAGCTCTGCAGGCTTGGAATCCTTTTTAAATTTTTGGGCAAATGTTTTAAATTGAGCCTTGTAATACTGCTGGGTTCTGTCGTACATGATTTACTTCACTTTTCCTGCAGTTTTCAACAAGGAATAGAATAATTAAGTTCATTTGGTCTGTCATCTTTTTAACATATGTTCTAAAAATAATCCTTATAAGCCTTGTAACTTACTCAGTAATTGCTTTATTAGAAGCAATACTTAAACTATTCAAAGAAGTTGTTGATGTTATTGCACTAACCTTTCAGATTGCTATTAAGAGCTGATCAAAAAAGTAGGCATGGAATATTTAACCATAATATTCTCAACATATGCAGAGTTAGCACTGGTCTGTGTCTTAAACCTTTAAAAAGCCATGTCTCTGCAGCACTTAAATGTTCACAAATCATAGATCACTGAATGATTTGGGTTGGAAGGAAACTTAAATTCGTCTTGTTCCACCCCTTGCCATGGGGAGGGACACCTTCCATTAGACCAGGTTGCTCAGAGCTCCATCCACCCTGGCCTTGGACACTTCCAGGGATGGGGCAGCCACAGCTTCTCTGGGCAACCTGTGCCAGGGCCTCCCCACCCTCACAGGGAAGAAATTCTTCCCAACCTCTAAGATATATGGCACCAGAGTAAGAGGGACCTTGTGACTGTATCCAGGCAGCAATGCCCTCTGGGATGGTCCCTCAGCATCTCCAGAAGCTGTTGTACCAATCTGCAGCCAGCGCTTCTTATCTCCTTTTTTAGTCAGCATTAGAAGTTCACAGGGTGCTAATAGAATACCCTGTATGCACACAATAAAAACAACTATCCAAAGCCCAAGAATGATTTAAAAGCGACTTAAAAGTGCTGTATGATAAGGCACTGCTTTGTTGAATCCTTCAAGCGTGGTAGTTAAAAAAAAAATACAACTCAGTTGAGTTGTTTTATATATGAATAAAGATGTCAGCAACTAGTCATCTAACTGTCCATGCCATTTGGCAGTATCTAGCTTCCTTTTCAGTAATAGCCCAATAAATCTTTATCTTTTAGTAAGCTGATGACAGCAAAACATCTTGAGAAGCTGCATGTGGTGCAGATATTATAGTTAATGTATAAATGCTTCATGCCATCATCTACTGGGTGTTTTTTTCCTGTCCAGATGTAGTATCTTGGTTTGAGGCATGTGCTTTCTTCTCCCTGTAGTGATTCCAAGAGCCTAATGATAATTAAGCTAGTTAATTAGTTTAAGGTCTGTGATTCCTTGGGGTAAGAGAGTGAAGAGTTAGGCTTTCTGCTCCTCAGAGGTTGAATCATGGCTAATTAATTAATATATTAAGTAAAACTTACTAACCGCAGTCATAGACCGAGGTCCACCTGAGCAAAGGCTACGCAGAGGTATCAGGGTGATGATCCTGCCCTGAAACCACCACGCTGGTCCCCAACAGCTGAGTTTCTGTACTTTGAATCCGTGTTTTCTTTCTACCTACAAGTCCTTCTTGGTTCATCCAGAAATGTGAAAGAAAACTCTTGTGAAATCCAAGGTTTGTCTCATCTCTGTCCCCTACTTTGGAGGTGGCCATGGAGATTTTTCAGTGTGGGAGCAGCATTGTTAACAGAGTGTATGTTGATTGGTTAAATGGAGCCATGTTTGGGGTGGAAATGCTCCGTGTTCCCATCGATTCTGTCCTGTTTTTCCAGTTCTAATTAACAAGAAATTAGCCTGTCACTTCTTTGTTATTTTATAAGTCTTGGAGTACCATAAATTACTCACAAAGTGACTTAATGAAAATTCTCTAATTTTCGCAGCTGGAGGCTTTTTTTAACAAGAAATGAAGTTTTAAATGATTTATTTATCCTGTAAGACCCACATTAGGATTCCTTGCTGTACGTCACCAGCAAAGAGTAGGATCAGTGCAAGCAGAGGCTGTGGGGTGATTCCTGCATTTCCATTTGCTTTTTTCTCCTTTTCTCTGGCATTTTTGCTGTGGTAGCTGTTGTGGATCTTGGCCTTGCACTACCAGGCACGGGGGAGGCTGCTCTTAATTTAGCAATAAGGGTGTATATGAAGTACAAAACAGCAAGCACAATAGCATTGCATTAAATATGGTCTGTATTCCTGGGTAATGAGGGGTGGGAATGCTGCAGGAACAGCCTCACAACGACCACTCTGGCCAGGGCACTGCTCTGCTCCAGCCTCTTCTGGAAACCCTTCACCCTCTCAAAAATAAGAGGTTTGAACGGACAGCTTGAAGGGCTATTAAAACTGCTCACAGTCATATTTAGCCTGTTAAAATATTTTACAAGAACTAGTGAATTTGATCAGAAAATAGTTATTTTTGGCTGCCAATGTGGCAAAACCACTTAAAATACAAACTCAAGAACGTGTTGAAAGGAGTTGGTTTGCCAGCACAGCTATTGTTGTAGCTAAGTCTCCCCTCTGATCCAACGGGAATCCTCTCCTCAAGTTTTATTACTTAAAAAGTTAAGGTGAATGTCAAGCACCTGGAAAATCTTTAAATCTTTGAAAAAAGCATTGGTGGGGGTTGGTGTGCTTTGGTTCCTCGTTGCAAACTTTTTTGCTGTGGAGTGTTAGCTGGAGGTTTCCTGCCCTTGGGCAGCTTTGCAGATTAATTTGGTAGTTCAGTGTCACTGGTTTGATAACTTGGAGATAGCAAGATACGTGACTTGGTGCATCAGTACTTTGAGTCCAGTTTTTTTACTCTATACTGAGTACAGTACCATGATGAATTTGCGACGTATTTTGTCTTATTTCTGATTTCTAGCTTTAAAACCAAACCCGCAAACCAAAACAAAATCAAACGACAAAAAACAAACAAACAAACAAACAAAAAACCTTTGACTTTTTTGGGGGGTTTTAGCTTTTTTTGTTTGTTTGTTTAAATATGTAAAAAAAAAAAACCCAGTGCTGCTCCCCTACCACACAGGGACCTCTAGAGAGCCAGGGCTGCCTCCCCTGAGAAAAATCCAAAAAGCTGTGTAAGGGTTTGGGACAGAATAATTTCACTACACATGGCAGCAGTAAAAATCCATTTTTATGCATATCTCAGCGAGGGCTTGTGCAAGCAGAAAGCAGCCCCTGAACACTTGAGGAGCTGGAAAAGGGGTGGATCCACAGCCCTTGTTATCTCGAGTACATTATCCGCGCTCCAGCGCCTGCTGCAGCCTCACGTAATAAGTGTGTTCCAAGTCATGGGAGACGTGGAAAGCATCATGGTCCATAAGCAAATGCATTATTTGGAGTAGGCACGAAGGAGGATGTTGAAAACTGTGTTTCTTCCTGCCTCTGCTGCCAGCAAAACAAAAGCCCCACACAAGAGACTTTGAAGGTCCCCCTGGGAAAAATGCCATTACCGGCTCGACTGGGGTGCCTGGTCCAAATTGCCCTGAAGGAATCTCTGCCAGAAATACCTGTTAACAATAAGGACTTGTTAATGTTTCACAATTATTTTCCCAAGTATGTAATTGCTACACCAGTCCCCAGCACAAGAAGCTTTGGCAAATATTAAATACACGATAACTGTGGAAACCTCTGGTCTGTCTGAATCTGCCAAGACCAAGATACAGCTGCATCTGCAGGTCTGGTGAGGGCTCAGGGAAATGAGCTTGCAACTCAGCAGGGAGGGATTGATGGGGTGTGTTGGGCACACACTCGGGATCTGTTCTAAACCAGCACTGGGGAAGAGGTGGTGGTCCATAATGAAAAATTAACCATGCCAGTGTCTTTTTATCATAGTATTGAAAACCTTACTTGTTTTATTTTCTATGATTTTGAATCTACCCTTTTTTAGATCGAAGGCTGACCCACTTCATTAGAGATGAAAAAAAAATCTCAGACATGTGTTTTCATGCTAATCCCCTGACATGGGGCACACCTGACATCACATAGTGTCTCCCCCCTGGTCTGTGTGCAGTCATGAAGAATAAAAACCTGGGGTTCTCTCAGTTCTGACTTCAGCTCTTCCAAAGAAAATCAACATGATTTTCATCTTTTGTGGAAGCAAGTTAAGCAACAAACTCCTTATGGCTGGCACATCCTAACTTTTCTGTTAGAGGCTGCGCAAGGGAACGAAGGAGAGCTGTGTTGGTGGCCAGTCAGGAGGGATTGCTGGTAAGTGCCCCATCCTTCTGAAGCTGTTGCTTTGTCACTGGCTTCAGATCAGAGACAAACTCATGATTTATCAGAGCTGTGATCTTCCTGCCTCAAGGTGTATTTACAGAACTCTTCTCTGACTGTCCCTTGTGAATGTCAAGGCTGA